AGGGCGCTAGTGCGGAGCTCCTCACCCAAGTTTAGCTGGTAATCTACAGGGCGGATCCCACTCTGCAGAAATTGGGCAGAAAATGCATCAGGATAAAACTGAATACTCTAGAAGCACTAGCACGGGAAGCAGAGAAATTCGGAAGCACCTCCAGCTGGCCGGCCAGTTTGCCGCCTGCACGGCCTCTCGACTGGAAGCACGGTGAGAAGCGAGAAACACTTTCAGAGTCGTCACATCTTCCGCCTCGATGCAGCGATGACACCGCAGAGGCCAGCGCTAGAATGTTGACTTCGGAGCGCTGCTCTTCCATCTCCCTTAACCTTAACGGAGCAAGTGCAGCACTGCGTTTGCGTTGCTTTGAGCGGCGCTTGCCAGAACCTAAGCCCCGAAGGCCCCGAAGGCCCTGAAGGCCGAAGGCCAAGAGAGGCCCCTCTTGGTCTCGGTAACTTCTCGAAGCCAAGGCACAGCTCCAGGCTCAGCTGCCACGCATCGCCACAGGCCTCCATCCTCGGTGTCTTTTGGCGCCAGCCCAAGGGTCCCAAAAAATCAGTTTATAGGTTCGGGAAAACGTGCCTGTTTGAGGCAAGATCATGACATCTCTTGCAACGCAAGCCTCAGGGCTGGCAGGGGCTCATTTCAATCCAGGGCTCACGGCATTCCAGGTGACCTCACTGGGATGAAGATGCTCAACACGGAGCCTCCGGTCAGGGCATAAACGGCACTCGAAATGGCTGCAGGGTTACGAGGGTCAGCTGGTATTGAAATTATCGACACATCGTTGGGAAGAATTGTGGCCGGCACAACCGCTGCATGAAGTCTGCTGCTGGCAGCACCAAGACGAAGCTTTAGAATCTTGGAACAGGCAGAAGAACACTTCACGAAGTGACACTTGATTCATCACCACATGACAAAAAACTCAACAAGTCCCATGAAGGGAACGCTGGTGGTATGTCTGCTAAGCGCCTTTCGAGATTCCGAGGAAACTGGATACCTGGGAAACGAATCGCCTCGGGTGCCCTCGACAGCGAGCCATAAAGCAGAACTCGCGACTTGCAAAACTTCGGGCTCGAGTGGGAGGCATTCAAGTCTCGCAGTTCCTTCCGGCTAAAAGCAGTGCCCTCAAGTATCCGATCTGCAAGTCAGCAGAAATCATCCTCTGTCTTGCTATCACTATGACCTTTGCCTGCTTCAGTTTCCTGTCACCAAATCAAACTCCAACTGCACCATCAAATAAATCGGCTATCTTGGTTTGTTGCTGCTGCGAAAACGGGAAGTACCCGAAACACCTATCCTTTTAGGGTCTGATAGAGTGTTCGATAGAAGTCTCGATGTCTCGATTTGCGGTTTCCCGCTCCTTCGCAGGAAAGCCAGGGCAACACGGGTGGCGAGGCCAGCAGCGCATGCAGAGATGGCTGCATTGCCTGGGAATCAAAGAAATCGTATGCAACCAAAGATCCTTCAAAGCTGTCTTCCAGCTTGCCGCCAGGGCTCAGGTGACCAATGCCCACGGGAGTCCACATACCTCCCGGCATCCAAGGATACCCAGAGCCTCTCAAGGACAAAGCCAGGACGGACGGCAACGGCTGGCGGTCGCTGGTGCCGCCTGGCCTTCTTCCACTGCTGTCCATGGCCACACGCGCTTGTGACCTCCGGGACAACATAAGGCGCTCACACGGGCGTCGCAAAAAGCGAGGTCATCGGCTGGGCCCTTTTTAAGGCGAGGCGCCGTGTTGAAAGCGATGTCATCGGCTTGCAGCCCAGACTGCTGAAGGGTGAGGAGCAAACTCACTGCTTGCATCCACTGCTTTGCCTTCCTCGCATGCGCGATGTGTTTCCGGCATGCCTCTACAGTGCAGAGCGATGCCTTTCAATACCGCGAGCTTGGGCCTGCGTACTCCCCAAGGTTTAAATCTACGAGTTGTGGTTCGTTCAGATGCGCACGATCCAAACCTATTATCTAAAATACCACACATTGCGTCCAAGTCTCTCGCAGGCGCTGGCTGCAGAGCTAAAGCTTATAAGGGACGGCCGCAGGCGCAGGGTCTCAGATCATGAGATATGCAGAGTCCAATCGAACTCCTTGCAACGAATGCTGGCGCAAAGCACATGCTGAGCTATGGGCGCGAAGCTGTCCAAAAAGCCACAGAGCCAAGTCCTAAGCATCTTCTGAAAAAGGTCTGCAGAGATGCAGCAGCTCCATTTGTCAACTGTCAGCTGGTCATGGAATGCAGGTGGAGCTGAGATAAAGGCCCACTGCTGCCCATGATCGCAGGCCGCCATTACGGAGTTGAAGCTGACGACGTCTGGAACCAAATGATGGAGGCGAAACCTTGCAGAAACCCAGACTGCCAGGCTCGGTGCGAGTTTCGCAGGGTCTGACATGTGGAAGGCATAAGCCTGCGGCTGTTGCAACAGTAGGAAGGCTCGTTCCCACTCTCCAGCCTGAACAGACCGTCTTGTCTGATTGAGGCATCCCAACTGTCTCTGCACCCTTGTGGCCACTGTGCGGAATGACGAAGGGAATCTAGCAATACACACACTTCAGTGGCGGAATAGCGTCGAACACATTACTGCCCACAGCCACACCTCTGCACATGCAGTCATGACAGCATTCATGGCCGGCACGTCTGGATGTCCTGGCAGGTCACCGGCGGCGGCAAGTCATGCACAGAAATCTGTCAGCAGAACAGTCCTGGGATTTGCGCCAAAAACTCAAGAGCCTCTGCCCAGAGACCTGCAGTCAGGATCATGTTGAACTTCGTTACGATCAACGGCTTGCGCAATGCTAAGGTACGGGACTCTTTTCTCCCGTCTCGACTACGCAGCCCCCGCCAACGACGAAACAGATGCTGGTTTAGCTCGACACAGCCGCACTCACAGCTCAACAGGCGGCACAAATGCGCGAAGGATTGGCACTTGGCCCAGACAGTCGCCTTCAGAAGCGCAAGCGGCGATGGCACTGCTGCAACTCAGCAAGTCAGGCTTCAGCCTGCCAAGCGCTGACACAAAGAGTTTGCCATGTCTCAGTCTTGCAGAGTTTGGCACTTCCTCTTCTTTCTCGAACGTCGTTCTCAGCTTGACTTGGCCTCCTGAAGACCCTGTTGGCCACATGCTCGGTCGGCGGTGGCTTCAGTGCTTTCAATCCCGGCTTTTCAAGGGTTCGCTGCGGCACCACCCAGCCTTGTCTGTTTCTCCCCTCTCTCTGCATGACGATGTACGCAGCATGGCCAAGTTGTGATTTTGGTCACTGGCAGCCCCTCCCTTGCGAAGTATGCAGAAACTTTGAATAGAAACGCTCTTTTGCCTCGCGCCATTTGACTTCTCAGTGTACTTCGCTGCACATGGGAAAGAGAGTGGCTCCTGGCTAGAACTCGGAAGGAATCAAAGGAAGGATCCCCGATAAGCCTTCAGGCTTGCGTCGGGTGTCACTTTGTGACAAGACTCCCTGCCAAAAAAATAGGTGGCTCACTCAGTCGGCAGCTCCCACTCCTCGTTGTCGATGGCCTCCGCAACAAGAGGCTGCGGCTCTCTGCCGAATCCAAGCAGCGGTCTGCAGACCTCCTGCAGGGCGATCGGCTTCTGGCCGTCCACGGTGCAGCCGACCGCGAAGCAGGTCCCCAAAATCTCCTCTTCATTCCGGTACGACCAGACAGCCAGTGCTGTCGAAACACTTGTGCGAAAACGGGGTGCTTACCTGTAGTGAACTAAATATGAGAAACGGATGGGGCAATGCGTGCCGGAAGCCCTCCCTGCTCACCCGTATGGGAGATCTGTGCTAGTAAACTTGCCCCGTCCACGCGTGCTGTGGGCCTGCAAACGCATGCCGTGCATGCTATACCACGCGGAAATGACCGTTGCAAGTTGTCACCATGCAAGCCCCTCGCCATCCACCTGCACCCGAGATCCGTCCTAATTTGTCCTGCGTTCTGGGCGGGCCCGCAATCTCCAACGCTCACACGTGTGCAGATCTCCATTCCAAGCATAAACTCCTCATTGCTGAACACACCTGAATCCATCCCTTCGGCTGTACAATGCAGGTACGTAGAGAAGGCGTCCCTTCTCCATATCTCTATGCAATGAGAGCGTCTCCGTTGGCAGGAGACTCTCAATGCTTGCTCCTGACACATCCACATGTCAGAAGCCAACTAGGAGGTGTCGGCGAGATGTGTGATGTGTCAACACTGACTTAGTTACTTAGTTGAAGTTAAAGCAAGTGCTGAGCATGAACGTGACACAGGTGCAGCTCACATGGGCATTGCGCTGACCTCAGCACGCTCTAAAGACCATCTGAGGTTACAGTTCACGGTGGGTACAACAGTAGGAACTCGGTCACTTGGGCATGACCGACACGGCAAGAAGTTTTCTAGACGATTACAGTCTCTGAGAGGAGGCAAAACACCAGTTCGCACATGCTTGTACATACACTACAAGCAAAAGCAACATCGAAGGGCCACGGACTCCTTTGCAGTGCCCTTGAACTCCTTTGCCAAGCTCTTCTTGCGCATCTGGCGGCAAATGTCCTGCCAGGAAAGCTTGGTAGTGAGCTGCCTCGCAAAGTCTGCAGTGAGCTCTGTAGTGTCGCAAGTCCAGGAAGACATTCTTCGTCAGGTTGCCGCTGTGCTTGATGTTCTTGGTCTTCTTTCCTTCAGACACAGCACCCTCTGCATCGAGCCTTCTGCAGTGCACGAGAATCTGCCATGCTGGGCAAGCGTCGGTCTCGGAGAGGCTCCTGGCGTTCTGCTGCTTCATGTGCAGCTCCGTGGTTCGGAGGTTCAAAAGCACGAGCAGCACTACCGGTAGCAGCACAGGTCCTTCAGAGCCTTGATGACGAGGCTGGTGGCATTCGGCTCCACGTCCACCTGATGGCTGTGCACAGCATGAAACTGAGCAAGGGCACCGACCAACCAGCTTGCACCAAGACTCTTGCCTTGGCCGCCCGGTTCTGGATCGTCAGCTTCACGGTCACCCGGATTCCTTTCCACTGGCTGGTCCCCTTCACGATGTCGTCGCCAACCTGGCCAGTGGCCGCTCAGGAGAGTCTGCAGATGTCTGCCGTCCCTTCTCCTCCCAGCGGGGCACCTTCTTGGGCGACATTCCCAACGGGCCAACCTTTGGAGCCAGAACGGAACTCGGGGCCTGCTCACCGCCATACCTCAGGTGCTCCGAAGTGATGGCAACCAGAATTGCAGGCTCCGTGCGACAGCGATGCTGGCGGAGGAACACCACCTGACGCATGCACTGGCCCCGCCCGACTGACCAACTTCCATGCCACAGCACGAGCCGGGCATGACGGCTGCCTTCACCTCGTTGGGGTCAAACTTGGGCGCCATGGCTGCGAGAGGCCACGCAAGTATCCCGCTGCGAGCCAAGGGAGTTTCAAATTGGTATATCTGAGTGAAGCGTCAACTCACCAGCGTAGCACGCAAAAAGACGACCTGCCTGCGCCAGCGCATCTCTGTCAGGATCACGTGCACCACTCGCACATCCCCACAAGCAGACAGCAGGCTGTTGAAGGTGATAAGGTCAGCCGTCAGCCGTCTTAGTGGCACGGGGGAGCCAAGCTTGGCGCTTTGAGAGAGAACAAAATGACCCGAGGAGCTCGTCCTCAAGTGCCGCAAGCATTGCCAGCGCCTGCTGCCAGTCGCTGCAAGCAGCAATGCAGCTGTTGAACGTGATCAGGTTCGGCACCAGGCGGTGCTCGCGCATATCCTCCCACAAATCTAATGTGTCCACTGAGACGCTCAAATGTCCATAAGCGTGGAGACATCGAAGCTAACCATGCGAAGTGCCCATGTCGCAGACAGCTGCTGTGGTCAGGCCTTCAAGAAATGCAAAGCCTCCTCTTGGCTTTTGACGGATGTTTTCGAGCAGGAAGCTATGACAGTGTTGAAGCTGATAATCGTCGGATTCACCTCGCCGTGGTCAAGAGCTGACCGAACTCGAAATCAAAGAGGCAATATCACAACAACACGTGCAATGAGCTCTTAGAGCTCGAAAATTGTGGCAAGCGGCCCGTCGACAGAGCATATGCCTGAAGAGCTCCTTTGCGTTTTGGGGCGCCGCATCCATCAAGGAGTTGTAAGTTACAGAATCAGGCGGAACTTGTTCCAAGGCCATGGACTCCAGAAGAGCAACTCCAATCGCCCAACGCTTTCCCGTCAGTGCACTCATAACAGAGTTGAAGCTGAAGGTGTCACGAGTCAGCTGTCGCCGAGGGATTTCCTCTAGCAATGCCAGAGCATGCTGCCAGCCCTCGGCCCTTGCATATGCAGCGATGGCTGTATTGCAGGTTGTCAGGTCTGGTGTTTTGGATGCACTAAGGAGGTGCAAAGTTTGTCTCCACTGCTGGCTCCGAGAGCAAGCGCCCATGACCGTGTTCACAACGATCGTCCCCATGTCCGCTTGCGCCGTTTGTGCAACTTCCAGCAAGAGGCTTGCCTGGCGCCATCGGCTGGATTTGGAGCAGGCATTGATGGCAGCACCAAAAGCTTTGACATCCTTAGCTCGGAAAGAATGGCAGTGGGGTGCTGCTTCACACGCATGACGACTGGCCAGCCAGGCAGCACCCCAACTCTTACGGGACGAAGGTGGATGCTCGAAATTACCGTCGGGCGTCTGCATCCAGTGCGCTTTCCAGCATCAGGAAAAGCAGCTCCAGCGAAGTTTGCCATTTGCCTGCTCTGGCCAGGGCAGCGATGGCTACCGCATACCTGCGGGACCGGAAGGAAGGACTCGTTCTGAAGTGCTGGTCGTTTTGGAAAAGCTAAGTATATAGTACATCTGTCACGAAAACTCGTCTGCTGCTGAACCTCCGTTCCCTTAACATGGCCGTTGGTTTCGAGCCCTTGGCAGGACACGGCAGCGTGTCGCATCATAAGAATAAAAGGCCTATGATGCCAGGAGAACAGACTAACTGCCGCATTGAGTGCTGCCGGGAGGTCTGGATCCAGCCATTTCGGAACAGTGCAGACACCTCATCTCTGGCAAACATGTCGGACACATGGGAGCTGCAGCACACTTGCTGTAGGATTGAAGGAGTTGTCAGAACCCTGACTGCTCGAGCTGCCTCTCGCCAGCCGTAGCTTTTACATCAGACCTGTGGCCAAGTTGCTGCTTCCGCCTGGCTCTTTGGCGTCGCAGAGCGATCACGAAGCAGCGCGGTGAGCGCCTCGGGTTCGAAGCTCCATGCACTCCGCAACGTGCCTGTCAACACATGCCAACCTTCTGTCTGCTGGCTCCAAAGGAGCAAGATCAGAATATCGTACAGCAGTTTATCGCGGCCTCTTTCTCCGAGATGGCCATTGCCCGGCGCCCGCTGCAGAGATTGGCATCTCACGGGCCTGTCCAGCGCGCCGGCGAAGCCGAAGCCGGAGCGCGGGAGCCATCATCAGCCCTTCTGCGAGGATTCCAGCTACACCCTTCCAAACTCTAGCTGCTGCGGCGCACAGGCTGCACTCGTTGGTGGGGGTTGGAGGTCGGAGGTTTCAGACGTGCACTGTCATCTGCATCATCTCTTCGGGAGGCCGAATACCCGCCACACTTCCAAAAACCGAGTTACCGCGTGGACACTGCTGCATGACTGCCGGGGAGATGCAGTATCCATTGTGCCGGCACCTGCCTATTCAGTCACACAGCTGCGGCAATGACTTTTCAAATTGTTCGAGCGTGTTCGTCTTGATTGCGGTGTGATCACGCAGTAGACCCGTGCCAAAAAGAAGAACAGGAAGAGGAAGAGGACCGGGAACAGGAACGGGAGCAACAACAACAACAACAACCAAGACGATGATGATTATGATTATGCTTTTGGTGCTGGTGATGCTGACGACTGTGACAATGACAACAATGACAAAGACTAGAAAGACAACAATGACAGCATCAATGACAACAACAATGACAACAATGACCATGGCAAGAACAAAAAACAGCTTAACAACAACAAGAAGAACGGCAACAGCAACAGATCTGTGCAAAATCATTTGCAAAAGGCAACAGTCTCATCTCTTTTTGTGCGCGATGTCGGCCCATCCGGATGCCTGGCACAATTCTAAGTAGACGCATGGTGCAGCACTGACCCTCATTGTGTGCTGCCCCACCTCTGACGGAAAGTCCCAACATCTTGTTCTGGCTGTCTGCGCCACGTGGTGACCTCTGCTGGGCGAAGCCTCCAACAACGCAATCTCATGCTCGGGTCCAGCAAATCCCCGTATCTCAGCAGCAAACAACAAACTTTGCCAATACCGAGCACGCGCTTTTGGCCTCGCGCCATTCATTTGCCTCTCTGCAGCACTAATGGGTTTTGGGAGAGTGGTTGTTGGCTGTTGCTGGAGTGGAAGGGATGAAGCCCTTAAGCCCTAAGAGCCGGGGACACCCACCGACGCTCCACCTTACTGCTCACTCAGTCGGAAGCTCCCACTCCTCGTTATCGATGGCCTGCAGACAATGGCCGGCACAGAGTCTGTCACTGCAACGCTTTCGGGGAGTTTGGCTGACAGGATTGCCCATCCAGGGACCTCCTGGAGGGCGATGGGCTTCTGGCCGTCCACAGTGCAGCCGACAGCGAAGCAGGTTCCCAAGATCTCCTGCAACGGTGGAGCCTGTAAGACTGTCCCTCATGTCACCGTTGCAGGTGGGAGGGCGGAACGAACATCGAAGGGCCGCGGACTCCTTTGCAGTGCCCTTGAACTCCTTTGCCAAGCTCTTCTTGCGCATCTGGCGGCAAATGTCCTGCCAGGAATCAGGAAAGCTTGGTAGTGAGCTGCCTCGCAAAGTCTGCAGTGAGCTCTGTAGTGGCGCAAGTCCAGGAAGACATTCTTCGTCAGGTTGCCGCTGTGCTTGATGTTCTTGGTCTTCTTTCCTTCAGACACAGCACCCTCTGCATCGAGCCTTCTGCAGTGCACGAGAATCTGCCATGCTGGGCAAGCGTCGGTCTCGGAGAGGCTCCTGGCGTTCTGCTGCTTCATGTGCAGCTCCGTGGTTCGGAGGTTCAAAAGCACGAGCAGCACTACCGGTAGCAGCATGTAGCAGCGCAGGTCCTTCAGAGCCTTGATGACGAGGCTGGTGGCATTCGGCTCCACGTCCACCTGATGGCTGTGCACAGCATGAAACTGAGCGAGGGCACCGACCAACTAGCTTGCACCAAGACTCTTGCCTTGGCCGCCCGGTTCTGGATCGTCAGCTTCACGGTCACCCGGATTCCTTTCCACTGGCTGGTCCCCTTCACGATGTCGTCGCCAACCTGGCCAGTGGGCGCTCAGGAGAGTCTGCACTCCCTCTCCCAGCGTGGCACCTTCTTGGGCGACATTCCCAACGGGCCAACCTTTGGAGCCAGAACGGAACTCGGGGCCTGCTCACCGCCATACCTCAGGTGCTCCGAAGTGATGGCAACCAGAATTGCAGGCTCCGTGCGACCGCGATGCTGGCGGAGGAACACCACCTGACGCATGCACTGGCCCCGCCCGACTGACCAACTTCCATGCCACAGCACGAGCCGGGCATGACGGCTGCCTTCACCTCGTTGGGGTCAAACTTGGGCGCCATGGCTGCGAAGAGGCCACGCAAGTATCCCGCTGCGAGCGTCGATAGCCAAGTCGGGCGTCTGCGATGCGAAAGACCCCGCAAGCGCAAGTGGCTTCATGTTGATTGAGCTGGAGATATGAATTTTGGAAGCACGGACCCTTACCCGTGCTTCGGCTCGCTGGTGTTGAGCTCCAGCTTCCCTACCGAAAAATGCGAAGATCGCGAACTAAGAAAAATGTAAAACCCCACAAAGCGTCACTGAACACCAGTCTGAGCACACGCGCTTTTGGCCTCGCGCCATTCATTTGCCTCTCTGCAGCACTAATGGGTTTTGGGAGAGTGGTTGTTGGCTGTTGCTGGAGTGGAAGGGATGAAGCCCTTAAGCCCTAAGAGCCGGGGACACCCACCGACGCTCCACCTTACTGCTCACTCAGTCGGAAGCTCCCACTCCTCGTTATCGATGGCCTGCAGACAATGGCCGGCACAGAGTCTGTCACTGCAACGCTTTCGGGGAGTTTGGCTGACAGGATTGCCCATCCAGGGACCTCCTGGAGGGCGATGGGCTTCTGGCCGTCCACAGTGCAGCCGACAGCGAAGCAGGTTCCCAAGATCTCCTGCAACGGTGGAGCCTGTAAGACTGTCCCTCATGTCACCGTTGCAGGTGGGAGGGCGGAACGAACATCGAAGGGCCGCGGACTCCTTTGCAGTGCCCTTGAACTCCTTTGCCAAGCTCTTCTTGCGCATCTGGCGGCAAATGTCCTGCCAGGAATCAGGAAAGCTTGGTAGTGAGCTGCCTCGCAAAGTCTGCATTGAGCTCTGTAGTGGCGCAAGTCCAGGAAGACATTCTTCGTCAGGTTGCCGCTGTGCTTGATGTTCTTGGTCTTCTTTCCTTCAGACACAGCACCCTCTGCATCGAGCCTTCTGCAGTGCACGAGAATCTGCCATGCTGGGCAAGCGTCGGTCTCGGAGAGGCTCCTGGCGTTCTGCTGCTTCATGTGCAGCTCCGTGGTTCGGAGGTTCAAAAGCACGAGCAGCACTACCGGTAGCAGCATGTAGCAGCGCAGGTCCTTCAGAGCCTTGATGACGAGGCTGGTGGCATTCGGCTCCACGTCCACCTGATGGCTGTGCACAGCGTGAAACTGAGCGAGGGCACCGACCAACTAGCTTGCACCAAGACTCTTGCCTTGGCCGCCCGGTTCTGGATCGTCAGCTTCACGGTCACCCGGATTCCTTTCCACTGGCTGGTCCCCTTCACGATGTCGTCGCCAACCTGGCCAGTGGGCGCTCAGGAGAGTCTGCACTCCCTCTCCCAGCGTGGCACCTTCTTGGGCGACATTCCCAACGGGCCAACCTTTGGAGCCAGAACGGAACTCGGGGCCTGCTCACCGCCATACCTCAGGTGCTCCGAAGTGATGGCAACCAGAATTGCAGGCTCCGTGCGACCGCGATGCTGGCGGAGGAACACCACCTGACGCATGCACTGGCCCCGCCCGACTGACCAACTTCCATGCCACAGCACGAGCCGGGCATGACGGCTGCCTTCACCTCGTTGGGGTCAAACTTGGGCGCCATGGCTGCGAAGAGGCCACGCAAGTATCCCGCTGCGAGCCAAAGGAGTCACGCCGCGGTGCAGGGTTGAAAGCGGGCTGAGGCAGAAAACAGGAATGAAGAAATGCGAAACAGAAACCTCGCGTCGGGCAATCTACAAGCAGATAACCTGAAGCCTTACGATTATTCGCTGAGGCCAATACTCATGTTGCTGCGAAGGCCATGCCAGCATTCTCAAGTCGGGTATCCTTTAAGAGATGCCCAAAAACCACCCCTGCCAGGCCTCGTGGCCCGTGTCGGAAATCAGCTCGGGCCGAGCTGCGCAGCTGCGCCGTGTGTGCGACGAGCACGTCCCCATGCCCGGGCCGGGAATCGAATCACCGGTTGCCATGCTGTGGCAAGCAGTTCTTCGGCGATTCTGCTTGCAAGATGCAGCCTTGACAGAAATCTGCATCCAATGAATCTTTGCCGTGGCCGTCATCTGCTGCTTGAGCTGCAACCGCGGGAAACAAAGCTCTGGCAAAAAATCCCAACGGCAAGCAGGTATCCGAACCGGAGGGCATGCAAGATTCGTTTGCAGCTTCGCGAGCCGCCCCATCAGCTGCACGAAGGATTGGAACTGATGTTGAAAGCACCTGCAAGCGACTGGTTGAGGGCCGGATGTGTCCCAAGGCAAGTCAGCACAATGAAACAGAAACGCCTCATCGAGTGGCCAACTGGTCATGCTGTGGCTTTCCTGGATTTCCGGGAGCCTGCAACAGCAAGTGCTCAGGACGAACAGCTCCTTCCCGCGCATGTCGGCCTTGCAGAGCATCTGCAGTCAGGCTGCGCTTGTTGTCTGAGGCCGCCTGCCAACACCGATCACCCGGTATCGTCTCGCACACCACAGAGGCAATGAACAGTAGCAAATCACCTCGCCAGAAATCGTGACCTTCTCCCGCTCGATGGCCTCCCTGTGAGCGGCAGAGTCCGTGACAGCCATGAACTTCCTTTCAACTCAATGCCCACCTGATGGGCCCGAAGGTTTTTCGATGTTCGCTGCAAATTCCGTGCTGCCGAATCGCTTTCAAATGCGCTTCAGTGCCGTAGCCCTGACTTGACAAGCCCGCGCAGAAGCCACGGCTGCAACCGTTGCAGACTGTTCCGGCCTTGTGCGCCTTGAAGCCGTACAGCGGATGCAACGCATCCAACCGGTCCATCTGGCGATCGCGGGAAACTTTGGCCAGAACCGAGGCGGCTGAGATCCTCGAAAGTTCAGGGCGGCACGATACCTTGCAACCTTGCAGCGGGTCCAGCTACGGGGTGCGGCCCAGGCTCGATGGAACACGGCCATCCCCTTCGATGACAGCTTCCACCTCCTTCACAGGAGCTCAAGCTGCATGGGATCAGGGCGGCTGTGGTGTCCGTGAAGTCCCGCCTTTGGTCGCCATGGCTCGGCTTCTTCCGCCTTCACTCGGCTCGGCTTCTTGAACCACTGGGCGAGCTTCGTCTGGTTCTTGCGGCTTTCCAAATCTCTTTGAGACTCCCGAGTCCATTTCTCGCCCGGGCCCAACAGCTCGGGGGGCCGATTGCAGCCGTCCACAAGCACTGTACCTCACAGCGTCACGAAGGGGTGGCGTTCGAGTCACGGCAGTCGTCCACACCTGGTCGAACTGTGAGGCCATGCACCGCGCGGGACATTGCTTGCAGCGACGCCTTGAAGCAGCCACAGAGTTGGGAGACAGTCTGAAGGGATAAGGCCTTTCTTGCCTGAAGAATGTTGCCGGCATCGATCTCCTCTACGGAGCATTCGGCAATGGACCAGGCGGTGCGACCCTGGAACTTTGCATCCGTCAGCTCCTGCGCCGAGAGAGAGACACAACCCAAGCTGGGGGCTGCCGCCCGATGGGGGGGGGGGGGGGAGCTTTTCTCGGCCTCGGGGCCTCGCCTCTGGCCTCGCCTCTGGCCTCGCCTCGAAGAGGCTCTCCCGCTGTTGCTCGGTCAATTGCTTGGAATCGTTGACCCTGGACAGCAGATCAAGGACCTCGGGCTTCTCGGCGGGTGCCGCATGTTGGCACATTGGTGGCACCTGTCTTCCCGGAGGTCGCAACCCAGGACGTGCCTCTTCATCTTCAGGCACCAGCACGGAAAAAGCGGCTGCAACGACCTAGAAAGTCAGAAGCAACACAGCCTCACACGGCCCACACATGCTGACCATGCACCACCCACCACCAACAACAACAACAACCACCACATGCACCAGCCCGCTTCAATCAGCCCTAAATTGCTGCGCACGACAACTTGCCGCAGCTTGCTGCAGCTTGCCGCAGCTGTCTCAACATCTGACCTCCACCCAAGAACTAACGTATACATCATACATAGTAACATGTTATCGCCTGAACTTTTGGTCCCATCATGCGAAGAAGGCAACGTTTCAACTCTACATAGTTTGTCGAGTCTCACAGCAGCACTGCAGATGCCTTTCTTTGTGACTGAAACACCTGTTTATGAACTCTGAGTAAAGGAGGCTTGCCTGAGCGCCAGGGTCCCGGCGGGCCCAGCCAGCGGTCCCCGGCCGGCTTCGTCGACGCCCGCCACCGAAGTGCCCTTCCGCCACCAGCGCCGTTCCCAGGCATCCAGGCCCTGCCACCAAGGAGCATGCGAAGCGAGGAGACCGCCCAAATACATCAAAAAGAAACTCCTTGCCGCCGTTAACTTGCGACCTTTTCATGTAGACAGGCACTCGGCACAGGGTCCCGCTTGCCTTCGCACTTTCATCGGCGGAGCTCCCGCCTCAACCGTCGCAAAGGTCCAACAGCGAACTGTCTCACTTTTTGAGTTGACCGCAGCCGAGCGGCCGAGCCCCATGAGCCCGGGCCCGTTCAGCCTACCAGGCCCGAGCCATACAGCTGAACATAAGCAAATCACTCAAGCAGCACATCCTGACTCTTAACAAACTGCTGAGAGCCTTGAAGTTCGTTCGTCACTTGAGGCGATGCTCTGTTCACAGGCAAGTCTGCACTCTGACTCTCTCTCTCTCTCTCTCTCTCTCTCTCTCTCTGCCGTGCCATCATCAAGTGTGTCGCAATGCAAGGGCGCGAAAAAACAGGCCAGAATATCGGTCTGCACTCTGATTGTCAACGCATATCGCGCAGGTGGTCACAAACAAGACTCGGTCTGGATGACCCGACTCCGCTCTTCAGGCCAAGCTCTGATCCGCCGTGCCCGCGAAGCAGCTTAGCGATGCCCTTTTTGTTGACTTCTCGTCGGGTGCGAGTCCATCGGACCAGTTCTGAGATCCGTGTTGGCTCGTCAGAACCAGTAAACGGCCGAAAGGCCACAACATGGTACAGCACAGATCTTTGCAAGTGCTGATTGACCGGTTTGCACAATGCCTCCGGGATGGGGAGATACTTGATCTGAGAGCCTTGCCCGAAGCTTGCGACATCTGGACACCAGATTTCCGGACTGGGACTCCATCCCGACAAGGCTCGACCCCTTCACTCTGGAAGGAAACTACTGTAACTACATGTTACCGGCTACAAGTCCGTCAGCGTTGGCCACATGGCCGAGGCCTTCATGTCGAAAGACCCTCCAAGCCCAGGCCCCTTCCAGGGTCACCATGGTCCTGCCAGGGTCCCCCACTCTCGCCGTCACAACAGCACGTTCCCTTCTTCCGAGCACCGAGCCTGTGGACCCTGTCCCAAAGATCGGGGCAAAGGAGGGGTCCACCGGGCTGCTGCCATCGCCATGGCTGCTTGGCCTTACTTTGCCAGGACCAAACACATACCGCCTGTGCGCCCAACACTTAACCGAACCGAAGCTCAGCCAAGCTCAGCCACGGATACTCGGAATCCTTTTCTCGTACCGGGGAATCTGCCAGACATGTGCCATGGAGCTTGATGAGATCTTCGATTCTTCGAACCTATTGACGGAAAGATGCCTTCAGACCAATCCTCAAAGCCTTCAGGGGATGCGAAACAGCCAACCGCCACAACCAGCTCGCTGCGCAGACATGTGGCATGCTGCCCATCCGGCGGAGGGCAGTCCTGGAAGCGCGGGTATATCATGGCCAAGATGGATTGCCGGACCACAACACTGCAGCAGGTCAGAAGATGGAAAACTGTTGCCTTCCCCGTGGCCTGCGCAAGCCGTGTGGCACGGAGGAGGCACGTGCGAGGCTTCCAGGCTCGAGCACTGCGCTCATCGGGGTAAAAGCTGCCTGCCATACTGACATGCTGCGAGAACTGTACTGTACGGATTGTGTTCGAGATTCTTCACGAGTTAGACAACGTGGGAGATGAAGCAAGATATCGAAAAGCGGCAGTACAAGGTGTAAGCTTGAGAGCTTGCAGGTCACCGCGACATCTAATAATCCAATAGTCCTGGTACTAATCACATACAGGAGCACCAGATGGGAACAACCTCCACAACGCAAATCCGCGGTCGGCGGAAAAATCGGTAACCGAGACCGAAATCGGTAACCAGAACAGCTGAATCGGAAACCAAATTTGATTCGGAAGCCAGATCTGCTGAGTCGGAGACCAAGCTTCCAAAAACCGGCCCTGATTCGGAAACCAGAACGCATGATTCGGAAACCAGAACGGCTGATTCGGAAACCAGACGCCAGACGCATGATTAAGAAACCAACAGCCACGATTACCCAACAGTTGCTTCGGAATCCGGAGTGGTGATTCCGCAACCCAGAACGGGCGATGCGTTCATGCGGAAGTTCGGGAAAAGCCACCACTACCCTCTCCGCATTGCGGGCTGAAGCCGACTGAACCTCGGGGCTAGGTTCTCAGGTTGAAGGTATCATATAACGTGTTCAGGTCCAGCCACAATGGAACAAAGCCTCAAAACAAATGAGAAAGATGCCCGTAACACCAGACTTTGTTTTGAGGAATGAGGTCTGAACCTAAACCCCAAGCCCTAGACTCATCTGCACCCGAAACCCTTAAGCCTCTCAACCCCGCCCCACCCCACGCACCGCTTCCTTCTCCACCGTCCACCGCCCACCGCCCGCCCCACCATGCCCCAGCCTGGTTTCAAAGCTCCAGTTTCTGCTGCGCGGCCGTTCCGCTGCGCAGTTTCTCATGTGCCCTGCTTTCTGACGACCAATTTCTGATGCGCTCCTGGTTTGTGATGCATAGTTTCTGATTCACGGCCCGTTTCTGTTACTGCAACTGATAAACCTCCGCTGGTGGCAAATTACTTCTTCCTTTGGTAACGACCCCTCAAATCACACTCGTCGCGTGGCCTGCGGCGTGCTGCTGATCCGGGTTTCCAAGCGCTTGACCGAGTCGTTCAAACTGCTCAGGATCTGTGCGATGTTCGTGACCTTCAAAGGAGGCGGGAGGCATGATAATAAGGCGAAGTCCGTCCCTCGCTGCAGAAAGCCTCTTCGCCCCACTTCTCCACGCTTTGTGACACGGTGCTCAGTCTTGACTCCAGTTGGTCCAAGTGTTCCTTGTGGACCTCTTTGTTCATGAAAACCTCAGCGAGCAAGGCGGACCGAGAGGGTATCTTGGCTCTACTGCTGGGCTTCTTCACACACACAGAAGACCCAGACATTCGCATCGTAGTCCGCACGATAGCAAACCCACAAAAAGTGGGAGCGGTCGGTCGGATGTCGGCGTTGCTCCTCCTGCACCACTGGGACTAGGCCAAGGCGCAGGAGCAGATGAGGGGCAGTTCAGGTGTCGACTGGCGAGACTTCGAACAGTTGCTTTGGGGTGCCTTTGCGCTACACGAAAGCTGGACCTGTCTTGCCACCCAGTGCTCCTCCTCGTCATCATCCTCACATCCCAGTTCTCCAAAGCCTGGAGACGTCAGCCCGTAAGGGCCTCTTGCGCACATCGACTTGAGCACCTGAACTGCGCAGGTCATGGAACGATCACCTCCGGTGCTTCTAACTGACGACGTGAACCCACACAAGCCGAGCCACTGTTAGGGCCAAGCCAAAGGCCAAGCCGGGAAAGACAGCATGCAAGAACCAGGTGCAGAAGAGCAAGCAACCCAAGAGGGTTAGGCCAACCAAGGTCAGCCAGCCCACCATTCTGACATAGTCCTTTGTTGCAAAGGCTTGAAGCGATTACGCGCAGCCACAAGGCCGTAATATGCCGTAATTACATACCGCTGTCGATCTTGCTGGGAGCTTCATAAATCCAAAAGCAAAGCCAGCTTGAATAATTTGCCACGGGGATCTGCATCATTGTCCTTCTGCGCAAGATCCCCATCATCCAACAGGAGCTCCCAGTTCATCCGGTAGCCGCAAAAGTTAAAAGTCCTGCGACATTCGGTGTGAAATCTCAGACGGGGGCAGCAAGTTGCGTTGCATTCGCCGGCTATTTCAATGCAGCATAATGCAGCCAGCCATGGCGGAACGGCCTTTGGCAAAGCCGGCTGCCGTGGATGATGGGCATCGCCTCGTCTTTCAGCCTGGCAAGTGCTGCTTGCCGCGGTCAGTGTGAAGAAGCCGGTGACTTGATGACAAGAACAGCAAGAGCAAAGAGCCAAACAAAGCCGACTTGAAACAGAGGATCTGAATTCACAGCTAGGCAGGCTGCTGGGAGAGCTACGGTAGTAACCACGGCCGCGTGGCTTCTTCACGGCCCACTCCAACCATTCGGCCATGCGCCGCCGCTCTGGGCACAAAGCACCTTTCGCTTCGAATTTCCACGGCCAGCGCGGGCAAAGAAGGACCTGAGCCCGAAGCCCCTAGATCTGCCGGTATTTGGGGCGGCGCCTGTCTGCATCGCATAGCAGCACTGCAGGTACAAGTCTCCAAGGAGGTCTGCCAGCCTTCCGAGGCCGTCGCCTCAGCGCAGAGGCGCGCCCGCCAGCGCCAGAAGTGAAGCCAGGATTCCTTGGACCAAGGGTGCTTTGCGAAGCATGGGAGCCGTCGCACTTCACGGTCGAAGCCCGAAGTTGGGGCAAGTAAATGTCCGGGACAGAGGTCTAGGGGATGCGATGGGCCTTTTAGCCTTTTTCCCTCTTTCTCTTGCTTTCTTCCTTGACTCGTTCCCTCCAAGGAGGAGCCACGTAGCGACACTATGCAGGCTAAACGAACGAAAGCCCATCAAACATCCTTTCATGCCAAGGCTCCTTAATTGCGGCCTCGTACTCCATAGTGAACACCTGCAGATCTTTTTGCATCAGGACTTGTGCAATCGCCTAAACACCTGCAGATCTCAAGGCGAGTTAAAACCCGCTTGCAATCGACAGCTTTGGCAGGGGTTTCATTTGGATCTCATACGATCAGGTCTCATTCCAGGGGACGGCTGTCCAAAGTTTATATACAGAACCCAAGTCTTGAGTGAGCCTGGGACATGCAGTACTTAAGCTTCCGACCGCGAGTACAAACAAACAGGGACCGGGGAACGAAAGGGGCACCGAGCTTCCAGGGTCATTGCATACATGGTCCATGAAGAAGGCTAGACGGCACAATTCGAGGAACTAGGGGCGAACAGCCTCACGAGGCTTCGATTAGAGATTTCTTTGACACTCTAAATGGGCGGAGGCGGTGCCGAAGCGACTAGGTGTGCGAGCAGGCAGCTGCAATGGAGACATTGAGCAGGCATATGGTCACAATGAACCTCAGCACTGCAAGGTGCAGACTAGCCTAGACCTGATAAATCGCACGAAACCCACAAGATTGCAGTATGAGATATACAGGGACTCCGAGCCGACTGGGTTTGCCTTCCGCGTGGATGGTTGCAAGGCGCTTCTCCCTAACCAGCCGCTTGCTACCCACTCTCAGGCTCGCCTCTCGGCTGCAGCCCACAACCTCTTGCCGGTCGCGCTTACGTCAGCTCTACAATACAACACCTTGCAGGGGCCTTGTTCGGTCTTGCAGCACTGAGCCGCAACAGCCCCTGCCCGCTCTCTGTTCTGAGACTCTCGGCGTGGAGAACAAGGTGAGGTAGGTGTCGAGGTTGTTTGGCTGCAGCTCTCCATCATGAAGTTCGCCCTGCAGTCAGGTGGGAGGTATGTTGCGAAATGACATATTGCCAGGACCCTACTGCTTTGCTACGGATTTCGGGGATGTGCACGTGTTCTTCCCTACTCGCCTCCATGACATCGAGTCCCTCGCCATCAGCCAAGAAGAGGCCGCGATAAACCTTCTCGATGAGAGCCCGCAGCGGCAGCTTGGAACCTGAGCCGCCATCGAGCACATTCGTCAAGACAACACGTAAAATAAATGAATGCCGAGAAGCCCATGACGATGTACGCAGATGTGAAACTTGCGAAGACCAAGATCAAGACCGTAAAGATCACTCCCAACCTGAGGAAATTTAGCACGCGAGACCACTCAGCGATTGAGTCTTGACATGCAGAGCTGAAAAAATCAAACTCAGGACAGGACGTCTGTGGTCAAGACAGCTAACCCTAGTTTGCGTGGCTGAGCGGCCTGAGGAACGAGTGAAGAATGGCCAGAAGGTGTCGACCAAATTCCAGTCGAGGGGACGCACCTTCAAAATGACGGAAGTGATGAAGATACAGTAGGGCATCGCACAACGCTTGGCTGCCAGTGGCGGGAGCCCCGACCCAATTTCCAACTACTGTAGCGACCTGGCTGTCTGCTACGCCCACTGCGACGCAGTTGTTGCATCAGTTGCAGCATACTGAAACAACTCGCCAAGAAAGTCCCATGTCTGCGGTGGCGCCTTTGGCCAGGAAGATGAACAAGAAGCATTGCAAGAGCAAGTTCGCTCCAAGCAAGCTGCGCTCAAAGGTCCGCTTGTTGCCCTGAGACAAGTCATTTGACCAACGTGGCGCCCAATCCAAAAAAATCAGAGCTACATGGGCCCAGGAACATTCAAGAAGAGAGAGAGAAGAGAGGAGTTGCGGAGTTTCATCTCGTTCACGCATTCCACCCTAAAACTCTGAGAAGACATAGAGTGCTCTCCACTTCGCAGACGCGGATCTGTCAAGTCTTCGTCATTCCTCCAGGTGTGATCCAGGTCATACCCGAAGAATGTCCTGCCAGGATCCCTTTGCATCCAGAGCACCTAGAGCCCCAAAGCTCAACCCGTCTCCTCCAAAGCAGCCACCACAAGAGGTAGAGCTGGATAATCCGAAACCCAGCCATGGGATGAAGGAAGAACTGCTTCAGCGTCCAGCCATAGCAGAAATGACCTTGGACACCGAGGGAATGCGTGTCAACCAACGCTCCCATGTTCGACAAGCTCTTGCTAGGCCCTCCGAATCGTGATCTTAGGGCCTTATCAAACTACTTGCGCGACACCCATCAGCCAGCATATCTCTGCAAAGCTTTGGGAATCTGCCTTGCGACCGTGCACCTCTCATCCACCAAGCTATCGTGATGGTCTCATTCACCAGTATGGCAAATATCACCTCGATCGCATGTTCCAACTCGGCACATGTGAGTGACGCAGATAATTGTGAGCTCATTTCACACCATTCACGCTGTGATTGCTGGTAAAGTCGCATCTAGCACTTTGTGTGGCTTCCCGTCGCTAGCTTCAAACTATTGAGCTCTCGCAAAACAGCAGCGTTTGCCGTCCAAGCTGCCGTCCATGCCGTTTTGTGTGGCTCCCAGAGCCAGAATCCGAACGACCAAGACCTCAACACTTTATCGGGACGGCACACCCTTGCTGCCAGAACCTGTCGGATCTCTGACAAGCCAAGCCCTGTATGATGCAGTGAGAATGGGACAAGCCAGGCTAAGGAGCACAGAAACCTCCCCTGAGCTGCCGGCAGAAATGCACAGAACAGGACGAGCTCCTCAGCCAGTTTACCTACCAAAGGCTGACCGCCGCGAGAACTCCATGTGGCTCGGGTCCTGAAGAAGTGCCGAGGTGATAGGCCGGAAGCAGAATTGCTCGTAGCCACAACTCAGGATGGCCTGGACCACCTCCCATCGTAAATTACATGATTGGGCGGTGCTTTCGGTGCTTCTCGGGGACAGCTCGTTGGCCTTCTCTGCAAAGATCTCACTCCAGCTGACACTGGTCAGTGCCATCATGATGCGCACCTTCATAGAACGCATGCAGTCACAAGCGCAATGACCTAATTGATGAGGCTAGTCATTCAAGTTCGCTTTGTGGCAGGTCGGACACCAAGCCGCACCCATCATACATTCGAGGGACAATGACAATTTAACTTCCAAGACCAGCTGGTCAGACAGGAGCAGTCCCACAAAACGACCGAAGTGCCAAATGAGTTAGCTCAGGAGCATCCAGGACATTGGACAGCAGCAACACCTTGACAGTTCAAGAGTAGAGCATGGTGGCCACCAAAACGCTGCGTATCCCAAACCCGGTGCAGCCAAACGTATCGAATCTGGCATTGAACCACGTTCAATTAATGTCCCGGCCGGTCAACCTTGATGCAAACGTCGCGATCTCCTCGGACGTGCAGAGGCATACGCAGCAAGCGGACAACATCCCCATGGAATCACTCGTTGGCATCGAAGGCCATGTGCCAGAAGCCCTCATCGTAACTTGAAAGGGGGAATATGGCATGGTGTGTCTGTGTGTGTGTGTGCGCGTACTAAAGCCTGCAGAAAGTGTAGTGATAGAGTCAATGGTAGAGTCAGGAAGCCTTCAGTGTTCTCATAGAAAGGGTACAAACACAAGAACATCACAATGCAGTAATCGTCGCTTATTGAAGCAAGAGCAAACAAGCACATATCATACAATGGAGCAAAAGTTCTCTCAAAACCGCACTACACGTACCAAAGCAGGCTACACCAGATGCAACAGTACAAGGAGACTATTTGCCTGGAGGCGGTAACCAGATGGGCATAGACTCATAGACAATAGGGATTCCGTAGCTGCCAAGCATCCCTCCTGGTGCTTCCCTTTAAATGCCGTGGGCGCCTGCATCTGATCCACGACCTGCCGAGCTTGTGCCGGCATTGCCCTGGTGACGACACATCACACTCGGTGCCTTCTGAAGGCCCATTGGGTCCATGAGGCTCGCCCTGTCCAAGGGCACTCGAAATCAAGTCAAAGCCAACAAGGCTTCATTCAACAGTTCAACCTCAGCTGCATTACACCCTTTCTGCTGACTTCCGGGGCTAAACCCACAGCACCGTCCACACAATACTGGGCGAATCAAGCATGAATTTTGAACCAGTCTGGAACCATTCCATCAGCTCTTTGTCGAATGTTTGGCCGGGCACCAGTGCAAGCAATGTAATAAGACGAAAAACTCAGAACGGTCCCGGCAAGGTCTTGACGTCTGCAGCTGCACCACGGCAAAAAGTGCTGTGCAAAGCACTTTCACGAGGCAGTTGATGGCAGCATCTAAAGGAGAATGCGGCAGCTGGCCGGAACGGAAAGAGACCAGTAAAATCGCGCACAACGGATACAAAATCGATGACTTCACTTGCTGTCGAACATGCTGTCCGCAGGAATCCGCAGCTTTCGGCAATAGCTTCGTACTCACACAACGTCGTGATGCTGTGCGTGCACATGTTTTGTTTTGGGAGCGCCTGTTCAAACCAACGCCGCGAGAATGCCAAGAGCGCTGCTACTCTACGTGCATGCGTCATCAACAAACTCAACCAATGTTTCCAAGCTGAAGGTGGCTCAGCCGTTGTCATGAAACTGCTGGAACTGTTTCGGAACATGTGGTGTGCCTGCCTCCTTCAATGGGATCGAATGACTGACCTTCGAAGCCCGCCTGTTGCAAGACGCCTTCGGGGCCAAAGTTCCGTGCCAGCACTGCTGGGTCCGGAGCCAGCAAGGCCAAGCCTGCAGGGTTGGCCGGCATTGCGCCTTGCGACTTTTCCCCACAGCATTCTCACAGCCTTGTGTCTGGCAAAGGTACTGGAATGGTATTGGTCTGCAGTTTGCCTGGGCACGGCATGGCTGTGTGCTTCACTGGCCATGAGTCTACACAGCATCGCCGCAAATCACATAAGCTAAGGTGCCTGTCCTCATTTGTGTCAGGCTGGTATGAGGTTTGCACCGACAAGTTGGGCAGATCGAAAACAGTGGCCGACCATCCAATTCCTGCTGCTCCAGCACTGGCACAATCCACCCGTATCCGTGGAAAAGCTGGTTCTTTCCGAGCACTGACGGGCAGCTGAAGCATTGCACAAGCCCTGTCCCAGGCCCTGCAAGTGTCCTTGTGCTCGATGCTTGTAGTTCATGTTTGCCCGGTGAGGCAAGGGATGTACGTGCGGATCTTCTGTGTCCTCGGGAAGAAAGCGGTCAGCATCTGAAACGGCTTTGTACAGCCATGTGGCCATGAGTGCGGAGATGGTACAATCCCTCACCCTCGCCCCCTCCCCCGCCCCCTTCGCCCTGTCAGCCACCTACGCCCGCGCCTCCTCCCACACATTCCCACACCCCACGTCAGCCCGTGCCGTCACCAGCACCACCACCGTCATCTTGTGGTCAGGCTTCTATAGATACTTTCTCAATGTTCACTTGTTTGCTGCGGGCCTCAGGAGAAAGTATTCCCGTTCCCGTGGCCGATTGGTTGGCTGTTCGCTCTCTCTGCGCGCTCAGCTTTTCATACGACTGTTGCAATACACTGTCACGACTGGCGTGCCAGTACATTCGAATGATTTCGGCTGTTCTTGCGCAATCCTTGCTCTTCTGCAGTCTTACTATACGAAATGCATGGCCGCAAACCTGTCATCATTTTCCAATCAGGTTGCTGGTTCCGTCAGGAGCAGCTCATCCAGGACTGAGATAGCTATCGACGGTGCAATCTCCAGCAGCTCTGCAATGCTGTCCTGAAGTGCGACGCAAAAGGTCTCCCAGAACCTCCATCCACAAACACTGGCATCCCCGACGGTGAACCACAACGCACAAACCCACCGCAGAACCGAGCGATCTACATCACGCGACAGTTCGATGTCCCCCTGCCCTTTGAAAGCTAGGTGTCCACTGGCTCCAGGCCCTCAGCAGAGCGGGCACCTGTGACGGCACGCAGCCTCAGAGTCGAAAGGGCGCGTGCGGCTGTGCCGCCGGAATCCTGGTAGGACACAGAGGAATGGGAGGAATGGAGGGATGAGAACATACACCAACAAAGACCCGCGCCCAAGCCTTGTTGGACTCGTCCAGGACACGCTTCACAAGCTCACTGGCGCCACTGACACTGAAGGCAGCCATGCTGGTCACGTCCTCCCGGGTGCAGCGACAACGCTGAGCTTCGACCAAATGATTCTGAGACTTGGCACCTGGAGGAGGAAGCTTGCACCCCGAAGCGAGGGAGCTAGCAACGCCATGACCTGCACGTCGTGCCGAAACAAACAGCACTGATATCACTTACTTGGAGAACATCCTGGAAACGAATCTCGCAACGAGATTCTCCCGGCTGGGCCTCGCTCCTTTGTTTCTGAGAGTAGACCTGTCAGAAAAGCCATCCATGAGCCGTTGTGCTTAGGGTCCAAGGGTTGAAATGCTTTTGCACGGCATCATGAATTTTACATGTTCTGCAGTGTCTTCCCAAGCACGGCTACTTCTGCAGCATACTCCACTCCCTCCTGCCACTGCACTCTTTCTACACTGCGGTGCAGTGGGAGTACATTCAATGTAATTTGCCTTCCAGTCTGCTTTTGCGCGTGTTACGCCACAGCACTTCTTGTGTCGATCGTCAGAAGCAGGACGGCCACTCGCTTTAGCACAAGTTCTGTCGAATATGCCAGCAGTAGTTGCACCAGCCTGGTCTGCGTAGTCGCAAATCCTCGGTGTTCAGTAGTCACCAAGTCTACGGCAGAGAGGAGCTCGTCACACGCAGATGGCGAAGTCTCATTCCAAGGATCTGCAGCGGTGTCAAGCCACGGTCCCACCCCCGGTTGCCGTGGGCACGGGTGGCCCGGACCCATTCGCTCGTCTTGAGCGTAACGTCCTCGGAGCGGAGCGGAGGCTTGGAGATTCCAAAGCTTCTGTGCCAGAAGCGTTGACACAACCTGATAGGCGAGCATGTTCTATACAGGGCAACAACTCCGAGGCTTCGGCCGCGCTGTGTTCCACCAGCAGACATATCAGCTCTGTGTCGCAGTTCTTGCCGACGGCCAGGTGAAGACAGGTAAGGCCTCCACTACCGCCGCATCCATCCGGATTGGCGCGCTGCTCCAGAAGGTGCTGGATGACAGCTGCAGATTCCTGACCAACACTCCGGCAGCAGACACGGGCCATGCGCTCACAGACTCGCAACTCTTCAGACTTCGAGCTGCCGCCTTCGCACCTCTGATCGAGGGGTGGGGCGCAGAGGGGTTGCGCGTGGCGTGGTTGTAGTCGATGGTGGATACAAGTGCATCGGAGAGGGGCGTCCAGCATGGGATCCCGTCAAAGACGGCCGCTGACTCCTTGCAGTCTGGGCTGCTTGGCGGGCGAACTTCGGGAAGCACTCTGACTCCAGCACTGTGCATGTGAGCTGATTCCGGCATGCTGCGATAGATGCGCCCAGGCTGAGCAGGGCTTTGACCTGTCAGCCAGGCCCGCAAAAAATCAGCGACATGCAGATAGATCCCTCTATGAAGCAATGCTGCGAAGTACGCCCTCGCATACTGAACCCCCATGCCGGCTTTCTGAGACCCCTGCCGCTGGCAAGCAATGGCCTCAGCGCGATTGAGAACCCGTCAGCAGTACAAAGATCTGTGACGCGGCGATGCTATGCGAAGCAAGTGGCCCACCGCAGCGATATGCATGCCGGTGACACAGCAGAACTCCTTGGCACCACTCCCTTTGGGGTGGAAATGTCCTAGAGGACGGTGTGCCACAAACCGACAAGCTATCCTGCCCAGAAGTTGATCCTGGGGATGCCTGCTTTGATAATGTACTTTCTTGAAAAGTTCCGGCCCGGTATCATTCGCGTTGGTCCGTCGCTCCACATCTGCTTTGGCATGGATGTCGGCACGACTCGCAACGATGTACCTCGGGTAGGACTGCTGTTGAGGTGTCTGCCACCACCGCCACCAACACCGCCGCCGCCAACGCCGCTGCCACCGCCGCCACCAGCACCACCACCGCCGCCACCACCAGCCGCCACAAACACCACCACCACCACCACCACCACCACTACCATTACAGCACCGCCACTACCACCACAACCCCAATAGTAACCACAACAACCAGAAACAAGAAGCACGACAATAAACAACATTCAACAACAACCTTAGACAACGAACAGCAACAACAACAACGAACAACAGCCAAAAGCACAACAACTTTGAAAACATCAATAGCATTTCCTGGAATGCAGAGCGAGCAAGCTCATGCAAGCTCTGCTCCTTGCGGGTAACTTATCGCCACCGCTGCACCAACAACGGAGCATCATGCCGAACATCTGCATCAGGTGCTGTGGTTCTCAAGCTAGGATACTACGACCACTGACTACTACGACGACTACTACTACCACTCACTACTGTTCATACTACTCTTTCTACTTGTTTTCTTTGTCAGTAGAATAACTACTAGTACTAGTACTTACAAATAAACTAATGGTACTACTAGTACAACTAGTACTACTTACCAGTACTGCTACCACCACTAGTACGACCAGTACTACTAGTCCCGCCCCGCCTAAACCCCGTCATCATCATCGTTGGAATTGGACTGCACTGTAAATACCGCGTAAATTCGATGTGCTCTTCAAATATACATCATCATCCCCCACCCCCCGCCCCCCCCCCACCCCGGAAGCAGCAACGGTGCTGAAAAGCGGTGATTAGCCTTTGAATACAACATGACGAAAATACTGTAAATACCGTGTAAAACGGATGTGCTGTAAGCGAGTGTTTATGAGGGGTGGTTGGTAGGTTGCAAAAGTTAACGCTCACCAAAACAACCGAAACACGCACCAAACGAGCAGAACACGCACCTAGCCTTCCGGGGGCTGCACCAAAACAAATGCAAGTGCGCCAATTTTTTTTGCTCGCTCGGCCCGGAGAGCATTGCATGTCCGGCGGTCGTTGCCATGACCGATTCCACTCGCGAACAGAAGTGTCAAGTATCTCTGGAATCTACACTGCCGACGTTCTCGACCGACTGTGCTTTATCGACCAAAGGCTACGAACCTTGGACCGGATGTGGATACAGGAGCAAACACAAACGTCAATGAATTTGTCCTCCGCAACTTCCATTCCCGGTCACCTCGGAAGAGCACGCCTTCATGAGAAGTGTGGTGTTGCTGTGGATGCTGCCCTTCCCGAAGCATGGAAAGACCATCATTGGAGCGGACAGGGTGTGCCCCAGATGTCTTTGGTAGCTAGGATCCTTGAGGCATTGCACATTGATACGCAGCTGCCCAGTAGCTCAGCTCTTCAAGCATATCCAGACCTGGAGGCCTCTGCCGCGAGAGCCTTGGATTTAAGAGACCCTGGCCGCCTGGCCATCCTTTTGCACGCGGACGACCCTGTTCTCTTGGCATCATCATGGGGCGAACTTTGCCGCATGATACTCATGATTGAACGATGGGCGCCAGCCCATGGAGCGCGTTTCCATGTCTCTGATGACAAGTCTGTGGTTTTTCGCTTAGGTGGGTCAGGACAGGTGCAGTCAATTTTCTTCCGCCCCTCACCGTCTGCTCCTTCCACTTCTTTGTCTTTGTGCTCTGATGCTCATAGGTGGTTGGGCTGGCTTTGGACGGAGACAGGCGGAGCTGCAGAAACTTTGCAAGCAAGGATCCGTGTAGCGTCGGGAAGTTTTTCTACTCTGGCAGGGTTATGTACTTCGCAGGCTATCCCATTACCTTTCGCTCTGAACATTTTCGAAGGGAAAGTGGATGCCTGCATGAGGCCAGGTCGTTGGATATATGCAGTGCTGGTCCCGGAAGCAACAAGAATCCTTGATGACGTGTATGATCGCTGGGCAAAGATCTTACTAGGCGTTCCGGCTTGGTTACCTGCCCATGCAGTCGTCTGGGAACTTGGTTGGCCACTTTCAGGCATGGCTCGTGCAGTTTTCGATGTTGCTGTAAAGCGCGCGCGAATACAATGCTGGCCAGCTGATGACTTGTACCGCAGAGTCTTTGAAACGACCGCGAAATCGACGGCAGCCTGCTGGAGCACGAGAAGTCTTCAATTACTCCATGACTGGGGTATTGCCCAGTATTCTGACGGCGACATGAGCCTTGGGATCCCAGAGTATAAGCGGTATGTAAAGCAAACGCTTGCGGCTAAGTGCTTAGCCAAGCTGCAGAGTTTGGTTCAGTCTTCTTCTTGTTTTTTGTCTTGGCGTATCATTTACCCGGAATTGACCCCATCCAGCATGCTCACTTCAATTGTGAAGCAACCTTCATCATGGAACAGTCTGCTTGCCAGCAGAGCCTTGTGCCGTCTCAGGTTGAACCTCTTTCCGTTGGGGCACTTGAGGGGTTCTTTTTCTAGGGCGCGGGTGGCTTCGTGCATTGCTTGCGGAAGGACTGTTCGAGGCCCGTTGGCCCACGTGCTGTTGTCGTGCGAGAGGTTCGCAGAAGTTCGTGGGGCCCTGGTCTCGCTTGTGGGTTCAGAAGAAGGATCAATTTCACGTATCCTTTGCTTGCAACCTGGACAACAAGGATTCGAAGAAGTTGTGGCCCTAGCACAAGAGATCCAGAAGTTTGCTTTCAAGTACTGGCGAGAGCGCGCTCGTCCACTGAAGACGCTACTCCCGTGACCGCAAAAGAAGACGAGTCGTGTCCTGCACCTGCTCCTTGGGACTTCGCATGGTTTGGGTTGCCCAGATTGTTGAGGAACGGGGCCTGCTGCTTGCATGCTTCCACCCAACATTTGGAAGGTGTTTTACTCCCACGGTGTGGGCCCGGGAAACCATCGGAAACCATCGGAAACGCACAACAAGGATCTGATCTGACCGGCACTGACCTGACCTGAGCTGACCTAAGCTGACCTGAGCAGACCTGACCTGACCTGACTTGCTGTGACCTGGACTGTCTGATGTGAGCCGCGGTTTTTTGAATCTGATACGATCTCACCTGACCTGCTCTGATCTGACCTGATTTGCCTGGCTTGACCTCACCTGACCTCCTCACCTAAACCCTGATGCCTGAAACCTCAACCCTGACACTACTTACTTGTAGCAGGAGTACATTGAAATTCTTTAGATGTTCTGAATCTGATAACCCCCCTTCATCAACTGTAAACGCAAGTCCATCGTCCTGAAGATTGCGAAACCATTGAAGACGCAGATTTCTTGTCACCTACAAGAGATGGGCTGCAGCCCAAGGTCACCAAGTCCAGCGACGCAATCACGCATTCATGAGCCGCCAGAGACTGGCAAAAGCGCGATCGCGGGCCTCCAAGCCACGTTTCACCACTTCGCCAATGGCGAAACGGTGCTGCAACGTGGCGCCCGGTACCTGGATGTGCGTCTTGCAGTTTTGGAAGTTGCAAGCGTCAAGCTTTCGCTACAGTCGTGCTTTCGGGTCAGAAAGCCCAGCGGCGCAGAGACTCTGGCGCTTCGATCCGGCCCAGCTGCAGCGCGCGCATGTCCAGCCAGCTTCGTGCTCACAGGACATGTTTAGTGGCAAGCAAAGCCTAAACCCGAAAAGGTGGAAGTCTGTTGCCTCACTCCGAGTGCTGGCCTGCCGCAAAAGCTTCTCAGTGGCCTCCTCTCCCTGACCGAAGTCAACATGTGGAGCACAAGTGTCAAGGTCAAGATCTGGAATATGCAAGGACATGTCGGCGCGGTGGCTTTCAGAAGAGACAAACCTGGAAGCCATGCCTCAGGATGCAAGAGCGCATTGCGTCGCCGCCATTGTCGAAGCTCCTGCCAAGACCATGCAAAGCAAGTAGCTTCAAAACGTTTCAACGAATGTGCAGCATGGGAAGGTGGTGGTAACGTCTGCGTCTCCTTGGCCGACGGCTCGTCTGCAGCTGAGGACATGGCTGGACATCGGCTAGGACTTCATGTTTCTGCTGCTGTACCAAGCTAAGAAACAGTTGCTGGGGGTTTCCATCCGAACACTTATCGGCCTGCAATGGCTTCTAGAGGAGCCTGGTCTGCTTCGTGAATGACCAAGACTTGCCCAGGCGGCACTACGGACACTAGCGGTACGTCTTGGTACACCACGACACCATCCTGAGAAGGAGCTGGGCTGTCAAGGATTCGACCGTTGTGTCGCTGTGCAGCTGCGAGTATTCCGCTTGTTCTTGCCAAGTCTGTGGTTTGGAAGCTTGGTGACTGCAGCAACTTCTTGGTGAGAGTTGGGGTCGTTTTGGTGCGCTGGTCATGGGTCTTGGTGCGGGTTTGAAGGTTTGGTTGTGGTTTCGGGCTGCAATCGTGGTTGGTAACTACTGCTACTGCTACTGCTGCTCCTACTCCTCCTCCTCCTACCCCTCCTACTACTACTTCTTCTTCTACTTCTGCTTCTACTTTTACTTCTGCTACTCCTCATCATACTTGTGCTGCTGCTGCGGCTGCTGGTGGCGGCGCGGCAGCTACTCCTTCTGCTACTGATGCTACTGCTGCTGCCACTACTACTGCTGCTGCCACTGGCCGCTTGCTACTTGCCACTTGCCACTCGCCACTCGCCACTTGCCAGTTGCCACTTACCACGTAGAACTTGCCACTTACCACTTACCACTACTACGACACATGCAAAGACGTGCTTCTTCTGGGCATTCTCGACGACATAAAGACTACGACTATGAACCCGTGAAGCTATTGCAAAGAGAGCTAACAATCCTACTGTATTTGCCGGCGGCGTTACTACGGGTCGTCATCTTCCCAATTCACTGCTACCGCTGCTCACCACCAGTGCAACCACCGTCACCACTACCCTTCGGCATTCTGGCGACTCCCGATGCGTGCCTTCGTCCAAAGAGCTATAACTAGAGGGATACCGAGCGGCTGCAGGACGTCTTCTGCGGCAACATTCCACTTCCTGTCCTCTCTAGCAGCGTCGGTTCACGATGACTTGTGCAGTCTTCGTAAGGCGTGGCAGCTGCATTCACAGGTCAGAAGCGGGGAGGCACTATATTCTACAGAAGTCGATACCATGCAAAGCCTGCAACAGCCAACAGAAGAGACCTTCCCCTCAACCTGGTGGGCTGAGCCCGTCCTCCTCTCGAACCATCTCATCAATCGCGAAGTGCAACAAGTAACCTTCAGCAACTCGGTTTCTCTTACCTTGGTTCAACTGGTCATCTTGGCCGCACGACGGGGCAAGGCTGTGACGGAACGATGAGTCGGCATATGGTTGTTTCCGGAAGGCTAGCTTGAGGACCAATCCAAAGCTGATAAACATGATTCACCATGAAGTCTGCTTGCTTGCTTGCTTGCTTGCTTGCTTGCTTAGGGGTTTAGGGTCCCTGGGGACCCTTGGCCCGGAGGCCTACCCTCTGGCTCTCTCTGCCGTGCCATCACCAAAAGTCCCGCAATGCAAGGGCACGAAAGCATTGGATTCTTGTCGCTAGCAAACGTGCATTGACTCCTATGTGCCTTTGTTATGCTTGGCCAGGCCATGGACCTTCGCGGTGCGAAGCTCGCGCCTGCAGGCAATGCAGCCAACGCTGCATCCCCACTTCAAGCCTCCAGCTCTGCTACAATCCTGGAGGTATCAACAGTCTCCAAGATGTCGTCCTAGACCACCAACAACACTTCTAGGGATCCTGGAGAGCCACATATAGGTAGAGACCTGAAGGGTGCAGAAAAATGTGCGACTGGTCGCAGCCACGATTGTCAGCATCGTCATCACCATCATCGAGGCCGTAGGCAGATGAAGCTTTGAGCACTGGCTGATCTTCGAGCCAGCACTGGTATCTTTGCAGGTCTCTCAGAGCCGAGGTACGGTAAAACTTTCCTGGACGCAGCGGGTTGCTCAGCTTCATCTTCACGGCGTGTTCGATTTCCTCACGGAAAAAACCGTCGGCGTGCCATGGCCCATGCCCAGTCGTGACAAGTGTTCACATGATGAGGTGAACCTACACAAAGCCAGCGTCAAGAGATCATGACATCAAGGCCTTTTCGTGATCGGATGCCAAGTCACCACGTCCGGAAGGATGCCGGGCTCCAGGTCTGGATCGCTCATCACGTCCTGACACAGGGTGAGGGCTTCACGTCAACACTGAACCAACGGAGAACACTAAACAACGGAGCCTCCACTTCAAGCCCGTACATTCCCTGGCCCGAAATCTGCAGACCATTCCAAAGTCTTGAGCCCGAAACTTCGGGATCCTCGCCATGAAAGTCTGCGATGGTAACGGCTCGTCGCTTCGACGGCCCACCCAAACGGAAGTCCTGCAGAGCATAGACTTGCTATCTCGTGTGATATCGACAGAGGCACCACCAAACTTCGCTACAAATATCTGAAGTCCTATGCCTATGCTAAAATCGCAAACGGCTGTGGTACTCTCGTACTGTACTGATATCTTGTGTCACAAGATAGTCAGCCAGAGCTGAAGTCAATCCTCGCACGAGGCGGTGTCATGGCATGTGCGGACATGCAGGAGGGGCAGTAGCACGTGCAGAGCTGAGGCGGAGTAGTAGTCAACAGTTCAACGCACCTACCCGCCTGGACAGTCAGGGACCCCTCAGCCGCAGCGCTCTCTTCTTCCAGAGTTCGTGACCGGATAATGGGAGAATCCATCATGGACCTGGAGATTGAGAGAGTCTTGGGGTTCCAGGGTGAAGCTGTCGCTATCGGGCCTCGGAGAAGGCATCTGAACTGTCCCGAAGAGATAGTCCAGCACTTGTCGAAGGCAGCACTGGAAGAATCGATAACCTCAGCTAGATTTGAAGACGACAATTTCGGGTATGGGAGACAAGCTCGAACCATAAGCCGAGCAGCCGAGAACCGACACGCAACACTGCTGGATCTTGAGCACCCTGCTTTCCTCCAAACCGTCCCTCGCAGGGAATCACTGGTGATTACCGTCGTGATCACAGGCCTGGTGGGGGGGTGCGAGGATGGGCGGGAGGGCCTGACCAGAAGCGAGATCTGCAGTAGATCGTCTTCTTCGTGAGGGTCCTCTGCAGTTCTGCCACACTCCACATGCGCTGCCGAGGACGCTCCTTCCTAAATGCATAGTTCGCTCCTCTGCATCTGCCATGACCACGAACTCGCTGCGACGTGCATCTGCAGTCTCCAGAAACCTTGCGACGATCACTGACGCCGTACTTGAGTGTCAGGGCCCGAGCCTACCGAGGCCGCGACTGGCGCACCTCCAACCTTGCCTTTGGCCCTTTCTTGGCAATCGCGTCCAAGTTGAGTTCCTTCGCAGGAACAGGCAGGGTCATGCCAGGGATCTCCTCTGCTCGCCGGCAATTTCGGATGAACCTTCTGGCTGTTTCTACTGAAAACTTCTACAAGCTGCCGTTTCCTCCGGCAACCCCACTCTCTCCCTGTGCTTTGGCTTGCAAGCCCTGCATTGGCTCGATGATTAAAGCAGACATTGAAACAAAAAGCCATGTGCACATCAACTTGCATGGTACCCTCCAATGCCTGATCCACAAATCTATGTCGCTGTAACTTGGTAGTTTCTGCTATGGCAAGCGTGCGCTTCAGTCAGAATGCACAAGGCCTCGAACATAGCTCGATGCCAAGCTGCGACCACCATGCCCCTTTTGATGCCGATGCTGCGCAAGCGCAGACTTCTGAGCGTGCTCGCGCTGGCACCTCCTTGTGGCCTGCCAGGAGACAGCATGTGCACCGGCCACGGCTCGGTATCCAAGAAAGGACAACTTTCACCGCTGTGCCACACCTGGTGCAGCCACGACACCTCAGATCATTGCAAGTCGCACCGCTGAGATCCATTGTAGTAGGATCTGCAGTATTTTCCAGGAGGATCTTCACCACCTTCCATGGAAAGAGATTTAGCCAGGAGGAGAACCTCCGCACAAAGCTCTTCGCAGATATCCTCGCACGGATAGCCTTCAGCTCCGCTCAACCGAACCTACAGTTACAGCTTCCTGGCACTGGTACATTTCTCTGTGCATCCCCGTAAGTCTCGGCTGAAGCAGTTGCAATGCTCAGACACTGTTACGAGTCTAGCCCGTCACTATCAACATACGTCGGGTCGGAGGCTCTGCCCATGCTGATCCTGGCCTGGCCTGGTGCTGAATCACCGCATCATTCCCTGCCCTGGCCCACAGAGTTGTCGCCAGATGCAACGGAGTGTAGTCCGGGACAGAATCGAAGGTGGCCCTGGGCGCTTTCTGACTTCACAGACTTGTCCTGGCCTGGGCTCCTGGACCCATGGGAGCAGCCGCATAAGCGCCGCCAGCACAGGCACCAAGTTGGAAAATGAGGCCCAGCGTTAACAGCTTGAACAAATCCGTGCCCAGATTCCGGCATTCCACCGCAGCTCGGCACCGGATGAGCACCTCCACGGTGGTCCCACTGACAAAGAAACCCAACAAGCATCGGACACACGTTCGGCGTCGGAAGGCTCACAAAAAGTCGTTTGCGAAATCTTCTACGCATCAGTGTTACTCACTCAGGATGCAAAACATGATGAGAGCACGGCCATCAGCTTCATCGTCATAGTCTTCACTAATCACTGTCACCGCTCACTATACTCTACTTCGCAATAGACAGATCATATCCCGGGTCCTAGGTCCCACGATTCCAAACCTTGACGGCATGCACATTTCCGGCATAGACCGCGAAGTGGATCCTCGGTGGATTGAAGGACAAAAGATCGACAGCTCAGAAGCAGGGTGGAGCCTCTGGCATCGTGTGGAAGCCCTGTCACCCCATGTCACCACCAAGCTGCGGCAAAACGGAGCATACAACCTTTTCCTTGATGATCAAGCCCTCCTGCAGACATGGATCCAAGCTGGTCATGTGCTACGGAACTCTACTCCTTGCTTCAGCTCTCTCGGACGCGTCTCACAGCCCTGTCTACCCCTTGACTGCTCAGCTTGCAGCTTCTTACTTATTAAGGTCATGCATTCAGAGCCCACAGATGCAGAATCCGCATACAGTACAAGCACTCCCTTCAAGGGCTCCCGCGGGAAATCGAGCTCCACATCGAAGAGTGCACGTGCGTTGATGTTGCCCTTGAGGCCTTGTGCTTGATGGCGGTGTTGCTTCATGAGCCACGGTTTGAATAGCCTGACTAAGATCCTGCACACCTCCCCATCTATTCCTACGAAACTTATGCACCAAGGGAAAGTCGGGAAAGTTCGACGTGCCATCTGACCTTCTGAACTTCTCATAATGAGCTACCACGGCGGTAACCGAAAGCTGCGGCAGCTTCGGAAAGCACGGCTAGTAACACGCAGGATGGAATTCCTAACAAACCGTAGATGCAACCCTTCCCACACATGTGACCGAAGAGCTCAGTATCAGGTGAAGATCCTGCTCCAAGCGCTCGTGGCTGCAGAACGCTGCCACCTCAAGCAAGCGGACTTACCGCGTCTCAGGAGGTCTATCCCTGTGCCCAGGGATTTACCTCTCAGGAGCCTTCCCCACGCGACCGCATCCAGACAAGCAGCGTGGAGCAGGCTGATCTGAGACCAACTGCCCACCGATTCCAGGCAAAGCTTGCACATCCGAAGCTTTCCGCGTTTGGCCGCCGGCATCACTGCCTGTGCCGGCTTCGATGCGTCCATCGCTCGAGTTGACGAAGCCCGCCTTTCAATCCTGTCCCCAAACAAAAACCAGAAAATGTCCAGACATGCCTCCTCCAAGGAGTAGGCTTTCGGAAACTTCATAACGACGCTGCGCAGAAAGGCTTTGAGAAGTTGAATGACCTGCTCCGGAAGCCGTCCGTTGAGGATGAAGCCTGGCATCGACAAGACGAGGACTGGGTCCATTGCCGGTCCGGCAACTACTCTTGCTGCCTTACTGGTACGGCACTTCTGTACCGTCAGTTCGTGCCTACATTCCACGGGTTCGGCCCCAACACGTTGGACAGGGACGCGTGCTCGGTGGGATCTTGCTGGAACTCCTTGGCTCGAGTTGCAATGAACAGAAGCTCACTGCAAGAAGTGTATGCAGCAAATTTCCATTGCTGAAGACAAACTGCTCTCTGCACGAATCTACTTCGCAGCTGCTTTGGGCGCGAACACCCTACATGCCAGGCTCAAACCTGATGAAACCATATTGGCAAAACCTCTAGAGCCCGTCTGCCCCAAAACTCTGGGATGCAGCAGTTTCTTACCAAACTTCTGCATTCAACTGCGAGCCCAAAAGCCTCAAAACAAGTGGTGGGTCCGAAGAGAAATCAAACGACACTCGTCTCAGGCTGGCGTGCCAGTGCACACAATGCACCTCGTTGTGGAACTAGCATCTAACAGTGGTACGAGAGTTTCCATCATTATGGCACCCACAGCCAGGGATCGTGCATCAGGTCCTCGAACCACTTCAGCAAATCCTGCAGCCCGGCAACTGCGCTAAAGGCCTACGAGCGAAGCTCATCAAAAGCCTTGTAATGACTCTCAACATCAAAACCGATGTCCTGCAGGTCATAGACCCGTTTTGAGGATGGCGTGCGCTGGTTTGGCGAATCCTCGCGGCAGCCACGACAGTGCACAATGCTGCACGCCCCGAGTATCGACTTTTCTGCGTGCTGCGACCTCCAAAGCATCATGCCGCCCTCTGCTACGGCCAAGAGAAGGTGTTCCTTGTTTTTCACAGCCAATAAGTCTGTAAGGGCCTGTCTTCCCAAATAGTACAATACCTTGAAGTTACGGCTCTCAGACTCGGAAAATCCCGGAAGGGTGATTGGATCGATGGCTCGCAAGCGTCAGTCAACGAAACGAGCAGAGGAAAGTTGCCCATCCGGGCTTTCACTGGGTGATGTCGCGGATTCCTCGAAATTGACGCTCCGCTGGCCGTCCGACCTCACGTGTGGGCATGTCGTAGGAGGCTTCGGGAGCTTGGGGCAGCGGAATAAAGGGCTCTCATCATTTTAATCTTCTCCTCAGCGAAAGCTGGGCGAATGCAGTCCGTCAATGCACCAGGTCACGAGAAAATCGAAGCTGACATGCGCGGGGACTACATAAAGTTCAACTCCAGCGCAAAGGGAACATGGGCACGACAGCATGGACTTGAAATCAGCTGCAGAATGTGGCGAGGAGAAAAGAACCCACAGAGTCCGTTTCTCGCAATACGTTCGCAATCGTAACCCTTAGTCAAACAGTCGCCCCGTATTACACCTCTCCAAGCATGACTGTCATCCTCACCAAACCCACCTCACGCATGCATCACCATCACCAGTGGGATCGTCACCAACAACTTTGGTTTACAGTGGTCGTCAGTACCATGTTCATCACAAAGGTAATGTTGATCGTCATGACTACGGTAATCAGCGCCCTGACTCATGCCATTGTCGTTGTCGTTCCCATCGTTATTGTCATCCTCACCAGGCCCTCATCATGACCGAACCTGTCCTTCATCCTCCTACGCTTCATCATATTCCCGTCATCCCCAAGCGACTCTTCGTCCCTGCATCCTTGCACGTTCAGGCACTGAAGCCTCACTCCTGAACCCTGTTGGCCACTTTCGGGATTCGCCAGTACATTTGGATATTGCTTTTGCTTTCGCAGTTCAAGCCCTTTTCCTTCGATCATCTAGTTCGCTTTGTTCATTCTGGAAACATTTCCCTAGCGGTTATGTTGTGTGACACTTGAAGTGCGTTGCATCACTACACTTTGCTAGGCTAGGGCAAGACCGAGTGATGAACCTAACACACTCTATGACTCCCGCTTTCACGTCTGTTCATCATGCAACCCTCCCAGGAGGAACCTGCTAAGATCATGGTTCATGGCCCTTACAGACTACATAAAGCAAAAGCAAGGGCCACCCTGCCAAGATGCGTCTCATTGTTCATGAACTGCGTGTACCTTACTAGAGCTTTGGCTGGCGGGGGCTGATTACATCAGGTCAGAAACAGCATCCCAAGAGGACGACACATGCAGTCTCGCGTAGTTTCCATGTTAATGCCGACATCGATACAGCCGTGGGAGAGGCGGCCGAGAAATCAACGGCTGAACCTCGAAACAGTCAAAGAACATCTGCGCCAACGAGCAGATGCCACGAAAGAATGTGAGTACTGCCAACTGGGTTGCAGGTTGGACATCTGCACGAAGGAGAGCTTGAATTCCAGAGTTCAAATCAGGATGCAAAGCTCTGTGCAGTTAACTCGTCTGTCAAGCAGCAATGCCCGACTGGGACCTCTTGTTCACACACTCCTGATGACCAGCATCCTCAGCTCCCGTGCTAGGAGGGCACATGCAGACACAAATCCCGAGATTGATGAGGAAGTTGAAGAGAAGCGTTTACCAGTGGCTGTTCATGCACGCCAGTCGGAAGGCATGGGATCACAGGGCCATGGACTCTGCGGACAAGCTCACAAGAACCAAGGAGCATCCTGCGAATATGATTGAGGATGGACGTCTCGTGAAGATGCCATCAGGGCAAAAGCGCTCGGCGCCGAGTCATCTTGGGGAACACTGGCCCCCCACAAACACGTGCACTTTTGATGCAAGCTCCGAGCAGGTGGAAGCTTCAGACTTCTTTCGTCTTGACGATCATCTCGACTTGTGCAACCAGTACTGTAGCGGGTCGGCTAGAGCACTAATTTCCTTCCGTCGTGGGTGTAAGTAGCTACTTCTTGTGCTTGTGACGCTCACAACTCTGTGATGCTTGATTTTACTACGGCGGTGGTGCCTCAACAATCCGAAGTTTAGGTGCAATCTTGCAGACGGCATTGCCGATCCGCCTGGCATTGCGCTTCCAGTACAAAGCATTGCAGCAACAGGACCATCTTTTTCTCCTTGGCCGGACGCTCAGGTTGGCACCGCCAAGGTCCAACGACGACGCCTTCTGGCGGCGGGTCCTGCCAGCGTCTGAGCTCTCCAACATCCCCAAGACTTCTGAGGCTGAAGCCAACAAGTCTCAGATGGCACGCCGCTGCTTACTCTGAAATCGTTCAAGCTGATCGCAAACATTGGTTCGCGAAAAAAAGAAGCGAGACGAAAGGCCAATGAGTTCAAGAATTCCCATGCCCTAATTATTTCTGCCAATCCTGCTCTGTTCTTGATGGAAGCAGATGGATGTCCGACACCCGCGAGCTTTGAAGTCACCAAATTTTGCCACAGCTTGCCAGTGCATTAAGCGTTCGAGCGCTAAAACTTACGCGAGTGTTGAAGTGTGCCACGGAGCCTCCAGAGGCTGCCAGCGTGTGTCACACGAAAGTCGGAATGACTGCGTTCCATTCGGAACTGTCGAATGTAGAAGATCCATGCCGAAGATCGCCTCCAGCGCATGGCTTTTTCATGTCAGCCCCCTTTAACTTTGCACGGACAGCCGAGTAGCGGCAATCAAAGATCCAGACACCGTGCGGCCCTAAGGGCACAATGAAATACAGTGCTGCCCAGAAACCACATCTCCAGAGGCAAAGTGGGAACTGCGCCACATGCAACCTCTTTTCTGCTCGATTGTTTGCACAACTTCTGTAAATTGCTTTGCCAGTCTCTGTCGGCAAAGCTAGGCGAGGTCAGTTGGGCGCAAGTCAGGGAGCGCGGATGTCTCATCGGGAAAGCCGGGGAATGTGCAAACTGCTTCGCTGTAGCGTTTTGTCACGACGGCATTTTTTCAGCACTTATTTTACAATTTCAAGCTAGACCGTCACCTCGATCCCCACTGGTCGAACGCATCAAAACTTACTACCTCTACACATCTCGAGACCAAGCGAGCATCCTTCTGGTAGTGGGAGGGCGCCAGCATCGGCTGCAAGCCACCCACTCCTCGCGAAGCTGCTGACATTGATTTGGCATCTGATGCCCTTCGTTCTTGGGTCTTGCCGTTGAGGACTTAAACCCCGTAACGGTGAAGTCGATCAGTGAGTTTGGAGCTGGGTGGGTGGATTGTCGAGATGGTCCAAGAACATGGGTCCCTGTTTTGCGCTCCTTTCTCCATCTGATCCAACGCGCCGGTAGTCCTTAAACCTGGGCGCAGGCTTCGGCAGGGGAATCGAAACCACGCGACTCGCAACACGAGCAGATGCAGTCACCACCCGTCACCGCTTAGCCCTCGAGGCTCTTCAGTGGGGACGCCCAACGGTGCTCGAAAGATTGGCAACAGCGGCACAACGTCAAACCAACAAGCATGCACAAGCAAGTGGAACACGATGATGATAGTCTGCAGACCCTTAATGACGCATGCTGAGCTCCGAACCTCTCAATAACTTCGGGATTCGTGTGCGAGCCCGGAATCCAGCAAAGCGAGCCAAGCTCGCGCTGCCCGCACCTTTGAAAGGTTGAAGCTGGGTTTCGCGTCTAATCTCGTCTTGTGCAGAACGTCTTCCCCCCTCCTCACGGGACCGAGCGGAATCCACGCCGTCAGCCGCCGGCCCTCACCCACATAAGCTCGGTCCATGTGTGGGCCGGTGAAAGTGGTGGGCGGCACCGCCCGCAGCCACTTGTACGCTGTCGTCACTACCTGTGGGAAGCAACGGCCCAGCGATGGCTCAGTAGCTAAGCCCTCGAACGTCAGGCCTCGTCCACTTGCAGGATGTTTGCTGTCGCCTCGAAAAGGTTCTCGTGCTCTAGCACTGCCAGAACCTGCAACCATGCCCAACTTTCCCTGACCAGGAAAAAATCCGTCAAAACATCCCTGCCGCCTCTGGCAAGGCCTGAAGGTCCAAGCGCCGCAGCAGGGAGGGCATCGGCACCTCCGCAGCGTGGGGGATTTGCTGACGGACGGAGTAGTCAGCAGTGGTCACCTCCCCTTCAAGGCAGCCCGGGGCGACCATGGCCGAGTCCAAAGCAGCCCCAGGCCTCGAGGCAGAGACATGCAGAGGGAAGCAAGAGCCGAGCCTAGAGGAATAGCGACGATACCGCGTGCTTACGCAAAGCAATATACTAGGACGCAAGAATTCAGCTTGGGCCTAAAGCCACAACGTTCCAAGGCCTGCAAGTTGTCCTGTGCGACCAGCAGTGTCGTGCCAATGTGCTCTTGCAATCATTGGGCAGCTTCAGTGGTAAGCAAAGGATCAACACAGATAGACTTCTGAACATCAAAGCCGCCTGAGCGCCTTCAGTGCAGATAGCTCCCGCAATAGCCTGCAGACCATCCGGAGCAGCGGTAAAGAGCCACAGAGCAGGAACCGGCACGACCTCCACGACTGTAGCCCTGGGCCCTGGCCTCGTGCGGGCAGTGCACACAAGGGCCGCAGGCAACAGCCCGCGAAGCACCACCAAGCCCTCCTCGCAGCGGAACGGCGGAGCCACGCATGGCACGTTGCCACAAAAAGCAGCACGGCGTGCGGCCGTTCTCGTTGAGAGCTCCTCCCGCAGTAGCTCCCGAGCGCGGCTCCAGAGGCGGCGTTGGGACTTCTTGGCAGTCGGCAGGCTTACACTTTGGGGGACCCGTCGCCCTCGAGAAAACCCTAGCCCTTGCAGCACATGCAAGACTCGGAATTTCGTGAACTCTCGAAAGAATTTCTTGCAAGGCTCTGCTGCTTGAAGTTCCGGGCTCTGCCGACCACCTACCTCTGCTCGCAGAGTGCCGCCCACACAGTGAATGCTCAAAGCCTGGCAAAGGTTCCTACTCTGCAGGTCGGCAGGGAAGCCCTGATTGTGGTGCTCAGAGGCTCAGAACTGTGACATCTGATCCGCCCCGAAACCTCGCAGCCACGCGCTGCTCGGCCGCCAGCTCGCTGTTTCACGGCCCTTGCGATGACTCGCGCGGCCGGCTTCTTCTGCGATCGCGGAGCCATGTCGAGCTAGGACGCAGCGAGAAATCTCTCAAAGATCTTGAGCTTTCTCCTTGACTCCGTAGGTCCCTGCATGCTGCAAGGAAAATGACCCGAAGCCTCTAGAATCGGCGCAAGTGTATGCATGTTACATATTTACATAGTCCATGCTTATGAACATGCGAGTTTCTCCTCTTTCTTTGGGCGGCTAACCGTTTCCTGGCAATGCGCACGGAGGTCAGACTCTGCCTGGAAAGCAGAAGAACTGAAGCCTGAACTTGCTACACACACACACACACACCTGGTTAGACCCTGTGGAAGCTGACGCAACACGTCTTAATGGGTCACTACAGGAAAGACGTTTGTAGACCTCGGTTTCCTGACGACTGCACCCACTGCTTAGAAGCTTGGTAAACCACTGAAAAGAGCTGTCTTTGCAGTCAGTCGAGGCAGGCGGCAAGTCGAGCTAGATGTATGCGTCCGTTCTTCTGTCGGGGGAGCTGGTGCCTTCTCTGGAAGAAAAGAGACGCCATCGCACGAATCAAGCCAGCACACACGGGTATGCCCAGGAAAGACCCCGAGCTGCCCGAGATGTCGCGCTTCGTAGTTTTGGATGACAGCTGACAGGTAGATTATCTGTAGATTGGAGAGAGAGACGTTCCGGATGCCAGATATGGATATGGCAAGAGCTCGGAGGTTGGGAGCGTCTCTGCTCAGCGATTCCATCCTAGCCCTTGCTTGCAGAAACTTGCATTCCCCAGGCAGAACGTCATTTGAGCGCAAGCACCGGATTGGGAGTAGATCTCCGCCTCTGCCGCCAGCGGCACAGGTTGCGCCTCGCAAATCACGGAGCTGCTTTCCTCCAGATCGCCAACTGCCCCAGAGCATCGGCCAGGCTTGCCGCTGCCTTCCTTGAATGCTGGGTGGCACTCGCCGCTGTGTCGGCCAAGCTGCTCTCAGACACTGCTCCTTGGATGCGGCCGCAGAAAGACTACAATAAAGCTGGCACGCGTGCCACCTCTTACAGTCTCACCTTTCCGATTGAACTTTCTCGTCTTCTCAGACTCCAAGTCTCCCAACCTCTCCTCTACCTCAGCTGAGGGTGGAGCACAGGTAACGTGTCACATATGAAGGAGCTCTAGCCATATCCGCCATAGCCATGGACGGTAGCCTTCGACACCTGAAAGAACAGTTTTTACTCTGACGCTCCGAAGCACCCACTCCAGCACCCACAAATCATCTCCAACGGGGTTGTCTGCACGAAGCCGCATAGCTTCTTCTGCAGCACCGGTCAGCAATTCCAGCCAGCCTGAGGATCCAGACACGAACTGCCAAAAAGGAAGCACGGCAGCTTCTTTTTCCGGCTCCAGTGACGAGGGGACACGAATAATCATGGCAGGGGAATCTCTTCGATTTTCGGTGCGTCACCCAGAACGACCGGGAAAAAACATGCAAACCGAAATCTTCGCAAACCGTGGCGATTAAGATGAGGGTAGCATCCACACCAGCGCGTGGCCATGCTGACCAGGCCACCGGAGATGTCCAATCCGCAGTTCGCTCTCCTCCAGCGGCAGGTTTAGAGAGGGAGGGGGGACAGGGAGGGAGGGAGTCAACAAAAATTTTCCCGGCAGACATCCACCCACCGACATAGCTCGTTCGGAACTCTCCTTTCGTTTATGCACTTCCAGTTGCCAGGAACGCGCTCTGAGCAGCTTTACTACGACATTGCTGGCATCTTGCATCTAAGATTCATCAGGACCTGGCACTGTTCCAGGAAGTCGGCCTCAGAGTCGAAGGTGTCTTGCAGATCTCCAATCCTGAGCAGTCTTCACGGACAGACAAGCCATGTGGTCGGGTCAGAACTGCAGCACCACGATTGCTTCTCCTGTCCTCTGCAGTAGACTAGCATGCCCACGCAACAGGTCAGAGTTCGTTTGAAAAACCAACAATGCGCGGGAATACCATGTTGGGCACACCAAGTGGCAAATGGAATGAGCACAGTACGTCGTAATGCGAACAACTGGCAGCCAGGCATCTTCTCTCGGACCGACTGCCACTCGGACCGGAGGAAATGCCACACTTGCGGCGCATTCGATGCCTCCATAAGATTGTGCTTCTCATTCGGCAGGGGGCTGAAGCTGTTGAGCACAATCAGAACTATGCAGCTCCACGGCTAACTGCAGCTATCTTAGTTGTGTCCGGTCAGAGCAAAACGACCACAAGGTTCATTCGTGAATCACAGCCATGAGCAGCGCATCCACGAAACGCTCCACTGCACGCCACTCATCTCAGTGACCAGCGTTCAGCCAGTTGTGGTTGATAGAGATCGTCATGGTGAGGTTTTCCACCTCTTTCCGCAACGGAGGCCAGAGACATCAAACAAACATGGACATAGCGTTTGAGCACGACGTTAAAGCATTTCACCTTCAAGAACCTGGGCACCAGCCGGACACACGCACAGGGTCTGTCTTGACAATCCTGGGCCTGCCTCGTGATACCACCCACTGGGCACAAACATCAGTTCTCCCTCTTCCTGGAAAGCTTCCAGCCTCACGGAGAACTCAGGCTCGCGGTCGATCGATCTTGAGCGTAGCCGCAGCTGTCCGTGTCTATGTCTGTGTGTTTGTGTTGTGTTTGTGTTTGTGTGTGCGCGTGTCTGTGTGTCTGCGTGTCTGCGTGTCTGGGTGTGTCTGTGTCTGCATCTGCGTCTGCGTCTGTGCCTGTGTGTGTTGGTGTCTGTGTGTCCGTCTGTGTGTCTGTCTGTGTGTCTGTCTGTGCGTCTGTCTGTCTGTCTGCCTGCCTGTCTGTCTGCCTGTCTGCGTGTCTGTGTGTCTGTGTGTCTGTGTGTGTGTGTGTGTGTGTGTGTGTGTGTGTGTGTGTGTGTGCGTGTGTCTCGTGTCTCTATCTCTCCGTGTGTGTCTGTGTCTGTGTGCGTGTGCGTCTGTGTGTGTGTGTGTGTGCACGGGTGGATCACCACCCCAACCAAATCACCCCGTTTCTGACGATGACAAGTTCAAGCATGTGCTTCCACTCACTCCACCCCTGCCTCCGCTCCCAAGCCTCCTGGAGCCCTGGGAAGTGCTGCTGCCAGTCTGATGTACGACGCTGTGGCTGGGCGCTTTCTGCTGTGTTTCCCAGCCTTCGCAACACACCCAAGTTGTCACTTTGACAGTCACTGCTGCAGACACAGCTCTTGTTCGAATCGAATCAGCAGGCGACAAAGACAACCAGAAAGCTTCAGAGGACTACAAATAGCTTCCTTGCTACAGTCGTACATGCAAATGTCGACCACACATGCATGATCTAGACCTCAGGTACATTCGCAAATTCGCAAGTTCGCAAGATTTAAGGAAGACCCCTCAACTTGTCAAGATTCATGTTTCATTGAAGATAGAGTCCCATGGCTTCGAAGTTCTCAGCGAACCAAAACTCCAGCAAACTCCGTGACAGGCGACGAGTCCAGAAGCTTGTGGCTGACTTCCGGCGGATAGAAGATCCAGTGCTTCCGGCCACAGATGTTTGCGGACCAGGAGTGCGAGAACAGAACATCGTGATGCAGCGGCGTGCGAGTTCCCCTGCCGAGACCGTGCGGCTGCAGAAGTGCTGCGGCCAACTCACAACAACAGAGCTAAGTGCTGACATGTGCTAACGTGACCTAAGCACAGAAGCGCCCCATGCAGTCTGTATGCCCGCAAGGCACGCCACTCCGACGTAGGCAAAGCGATAGTCATCCTGAAAAGAGTGGCGCATGTCCGGATATAGAGATAGCTCGGCGAAACTGCCACACTCATCTGCAAGCATCGCGGCCCAGCACAGCTATGGAAGTACCGTGTCCTTGCTCGTAGCCTTGTCCATGTAGAGATTCAGCCAATCCTCCGATTTTGAGCCGGTTTTCAAAGTTACATCTAGATACTGTAATACGAGTACCTTCAGACTCAGATATCTTCGCTGTGGCGAGGCTTGAAGGTCAGCCGAGCAACATGCACCGGCGCGGCCAGGTAGCTCGGGGCCTCGTATGGCACCTCACTTCAATTGCTGTAGAAAACCGAAAGTCATAGCGCCGAGAAAAGTTATCAACTCTCGAGAACTGTTTTTCTGTCTCTCCATGTTGACGCTGAGCACCAGCTGTCTCTCTCTCTCGCAAACTGAACACGCTCGTGAAACAGCAATGTTGCGTTTGCAGTCTCAGAGTCTTCGTCTGAGACGGTGGCTCAAAAAATCTGAATCATTGTAAACCTTGCCTAATATGATGCACACCGTAGCAACAAGGGCTGTGCAAAGGATGCCTCTGCAAGCAATACGAACCAATGCACAGGCTACGTACATGTGCTGCAACTGATGTTGTCTGCAAGGGTCCAATCATCTGGCACTTGGACTCTCGGAAAGATGCGGCACTGCACCTGCAGCCCAAGCGAGCGGCAAGCATTTACCAGGTGCCAGTCTTTGAGGTAGAGCGCATCGCCTGCCGGAAGCATCTGTGGGGCTGGCAACACTTGAAACCCATCCCAAACCGGGGCAACACCGCAACAGTCAAGACTCCTTCGTGACTGGCGTGGGCAGCCCAACGAAAGTAGTCGCCCACATCCTGAGACGAGTCAGAGATGTTTGGGATGCGACAGGTCAGGGGCCAAGACATTTTGAACACCCAACTAGTTGAGATCGCTGTCAAATTCCCACACACAAAAGCCGGGGCCATGACCAGCCGGAAACCCTTTAAATGCCGTGCCTCAACCCCAAAGGGAAAATGGCCACACTGCAGGGCACTCTCCCGTACAAGGACGTGTTTTGGGGCACCTGTCCGGGTGCACGGGTTCCGTCACAGTGTTGTTGGTTTCATGCAGTCCTGCATACGGGACAACTCCGTCGTAAAATGGGGTGGGTGACGTCCAAAACCCGTGAGACCCATAGCTATTGGGAATATTCGTCCGATTCTCTGCGCCTGCAGTGGCTGGGACTACTCTCATCTTGTTTCACCAAATGGTGCGGAGACACAGGCCGAAGCAGATCGCCGCAGCAGCAGCCGCAGCAGAAGTGGAAGCAGCACTGCTGGGAGTACTGCATGCAGCAGTACGAGCAGCAGTAGCGGTACGAGTCGAAGTAGGAGTAGCGGTAGGAGTCGAAGTAGTAGTAGTAGTAGTAGTAGTAGTAGTAGTAGTAGTAGTAGTAGTAGTAGTAGTAGTAGTAGTAGTAGTAGTAGTAGTCAGAAGTAGTAGTAGTAAGAAGTAGTAGTAGTAGTAGTAGTAGTAGTAGTAGTAGTAGTAGTAGTAGTAGTAGTAGTAGTCGTAGTAGTAGTAGTAGTAGTAGTAGTAGTAGTAGTAGTAGTAGTAGTAGTAGTAGTAGTAGTAGTAGTAGTAGTAGTAGTAGTAGTAGTACGTAGTAGTAGTAGTAGTAGTAGTAGTAGTAGTAGTAGTAGTAGTAGTAGTAGTAGTAGTAGTAGTGGTAGTAGTGGTAGTGGTAGTCGTAGTGGTAGTGGTAGTGGTAGTGGTAGTGGTAGTAGTGGTAGTAGTAGTAGTAGTAGTAGCAGCAGCAGCAGTAGTAGTAGTAGTAGTAGTATCAGTGGTAGTAGTCGTCGTCGTCGTAGTGTCAGTAGTAGAAGTTTTTGCCTCCTGCATGGCTGAGTACACGAAGAGGGCAACAAGTCCATAGTGTGCGAATTCAGCCCGGATATTTTCAGGCTAGTGGTAGTAGTAGTACGGCGATGATTTTTAAATACCCGGACATCTAAACAAGTTAAACAGGTGTGTCATACTACTTCCGTGGGCATTGTCTCTGGGCCGCCCAATTTTAAAACACACGGAAAGACAACAACACGAGACTCCAGCCCGCAGACTCCGTCCTCCAACCTTCGCCTCGCCAGCCCTCTTCCCAGCCCTTCAGCCCTCCAGCCTTCCAGCCTTCCAACCCCTCCTGCCATCCAGCCAGCCTTCCAGCCTTCCAGCCCTCCCTCCTTCCAGCCTTCCAGCCCCGCCAGCCTTCCAGCCTTCCAACCTTCTAGCTTTCCAGCCCTCCAGCCTTCCAGCCCCTCCAGCCCCTCCAGCCTTCAAGCCTTTCAGCCCCTCCAGCCTTCCTAGCCCAGGAAGGCTGGAAGGCTGGCGGGGCTGGAAGGCTGGAAGGAGGGAGGGCTGGAAGGCTGGAAGGCTCGAAGGCTGGAAGGTTTGAAGGCTGGAAGGCTGGAAGGCTGGAGGGCTGGGAAGGCTGGAAGGCTGGAGGGTTGGAAGGTTGAAGGCTGGAAGGCTGGAGGGCTGGAAGGCTGGAAGGCTGGAGGGCTGGAAGGCTGGAAGGCTGGAAGGCTGGAAGGCTGGAAGGCTGGAAGGCTGGAGGGCTGGAAGGCTGGAAGGCTGGAAGGCTGGAAGGCTGGAAGGCTGGAAGGTTTGAAGGCTGGAAGGCTGGAGACTGGGAAGGCTGGAAGGCTGGAGGGTTGGAAGGCTGAAGGCTGGAAGGCTGGAAGGCTGGAAGGTTGGAAGGCTGGAGGGCTGGAAGGCTGGAAGGCTGGAAGGCTGAAGGCTGGAAGGCTGGAAGGCTGGAAGGCTGGAAGGCTGGAAGGCTGGAAGGCTGGAGGGCTGGAGGGCTGGAAGGCTGGAAGGCTGGAAGGCTGGAAGGTTTGAAGGCTGGAAGGCTGGAGGCTGGGAAGGCTGGAAGGCTGGAGGGTTGGAAGGCTGAAGGCTGGAAGGCTGGAAGGCTGCAAGGCTGGAAGGCTGGAGGGCTGGAAGGCTGGAAGGCTGGAAGGCTGAAGGCTGGAAGGCTGGAAGGCTGGAAGGCTGGAAGGCTGGAAGGCTGGAAGGCTGGAAGGCTGGAAGGCTGGAAGGCTGGAAGGCTGAAGGCTGGAAAGCTGGAAGGCTGGAAGGCTGGAAGGCTGGAAGGCTGGAAGGCTGGAGGGCTGGAAGGCTGCAAGGCTGGAAGGCTGGAAGGTTTTAAAGGCTGGAAAGCTGGAGGGCTGGGAAGGCTGGAAGGCTGGAGGGTTGGAAGGCTGAAGGCTGGAAGGCTGGAAGGCTGGAAGGTTGGAGGGCTCGAAGGCTGGAAAGCTGGAAGGCTGGAAGGCTGGAAGGCTGGAGGGCTGGAAGGCTGCAAGGCTGGAAGGCTGTAAGGCTTGAAGGCTGGAGGGCTGGAAGGCTGGAAGGCTGGAAGGCTGGCTGGAGGGCTGGCTGGAGGGCTGGCTGGAGGGCTGGAAGGCTGGAAGGCTGGAGGGCTGGAAGGCTGCAAGGCTGGAAGGCTGGAAGGCTGGAAGGCTGGAGGGCTGGAAGGCTGGAAGGCTGGAAGGCTGGAAGGTTGGAAGGCTGGAAGGCTGGAGGGCTGGGAAGGCTGGAAGGCTGGAGGGTTGAAGGCTGGAAGGCTGGAAGGCTGGAAGGCTGGAAGGCTGGAGGGCTGGAAGGCTGGAAGGCTGGAAGGCTGGAAGGCTGGAAGGCTGGAAGGCTGGAGGGCTGCAAGGCTGCAAGGCTGGAAGGCTGGAAGGCTGGAAGGCTGGAGGGCTGGAAGGCTGGAAGGCTGGAAGGCCGGAAGGTTGGAAGGCTGGAAGGCTGGAGGCTGGGAAGGCTGGAGGGCTGGAAGGCTGGAGGGCTGGAAGTAAACACCCGGAGCTAAAACATACGGATTAAAACAGGTGTCTCATACTACCTCTGTTTGGATCTTGGGTTGCCCGCCCCCCACATGTTTTAAAATTCTCACCGTAGTAGTAGTAGTAGTAGTAGTAGTAGTAGTAGTAGTAGTAGTAGTAGTAGTAGTAGTAGTAGTAGTAGTAGTAGTAGTAGTAGTAGTAGTAGTAGTAGTAGTAGTAGTAGTGGCAGTGGCAGTAGTAGTAGCAGCAGTAGTAGTAGTAGTAGTAGTAGTAGTAGTAGTAGTACCATTCCTGCGTTCTTGCCGGGCATCCCAGGATTGAATGTCATAGCCGTGGCCACAATCCACAACTGGTCCCGTCACACCTGGCGGATCTCGTGGGCATTAAGCGTGATTCGGTCGTACCCTGATACGTTAAACAGCAGTATCTTGCAGTATTCTGCCAGTTTGCGTGGTATTGCTCCTGCTCCTGTTCACTGTTTGCACAACGGTGAGAAAGCCGCACCCTGAAAGTCTTCCGTGAGCTTTGCAAAGTTGGGCTCGCCGTTTGGGCGCCGCCATTCCGAGTATGCAGGCCAGGACGGAACCAGGTCGAGGAGGAGGACGGGCCTCTGACAGAAAAGCACGGACAAGCATTTCATGTCGAGTCTTGCTTAAGACCTACCCAGACCTACCGGGGCGGCACTCAGGCTTGCCTGGCCGCAGCAGCACACTTCTCGATGAAAAGTTTTGTCGACAGGTCGCGGCCCCTAATCCGCTGGACCGCAGGCTCGTGCACAGTGCCATTGCACGCCATAGCTCCGTCGCGGGGAAGCACGGAAAGATTGAGCCAAGCTCTGGCAGCAGCGTCAACCCCATCACAAAGCTAATCGATCGACCGACAAGATGCAGAACTGCTGAACTCCACTTTGCGATGCTACCTGCCAGCCTTTTTCAGCCTTCATCCTGTTGTTCACGGAGCAGGTGGTCCCGCAGTGTTCGCACCGAGGGGTAGTCGAAAACGGTGGAGGGCGTGAAGCTCATGCCGAACTCGCGGCTCATCATTGTCACAAGGGTCACACCTGACAAGCTGTCCATCCCTGCATCTACGAACTGGGTGTCCAGCTCAATCTCATCGGTACTAGACGTGACCTCCTTGACAAGCCGCAGGAGTTGCTGTAAGACTTCCTTCGGGTCCAGGGATGTTGTTTTGGCCACGGGCACCTCGGGTACTTCGCGAGCTGTGGCCTCGGGCGGCTTTTCTGTCGCCGGTTGGGGCGTCGTTGCTTGAGGCTCTGGTTGAGATTCCTTGCGGGACACCTCTTCCTCGAGCAGTGCCACCTCGTACTCGGCCTCTGCATCCCCGGCGGATTTTGCGAGCAGCCGCACTTCCTGAACCACCTCGAGAGCATCTGCTTTCGAGCCCTCCGCAGCATACAGCTCTGCAACGAGAAACAAGCATCGCACGCGGCCCTCGGCATCGCCCAGTTTGGTCAACAGCTCTGCCGCATCGTGAGCTATGCGACGAGCGGCTGGATGTCGGCCGACTGCTCCCAAAGCATGCGCTCGCCAGTAGAGAGCTTTGGCTCGGAGCATCCCATCACCGAGTTTCCCAGCAACGGCAACGGCCTCCTTGGACGGATGGAGCAGTGATTGCTTCACGTCGCCACTCTCTGCAGTCAGGGCCAGTTCGGTCAAAGCCACAAGAGCATTCACCAAACCATGCCGATCCCCACTCTGCCTGCATAGATCCCGGCTCTCCATTCCCAAATGCCTTGCCTCGCTGAAGTTGCCTTCCGCGCGGTGTAGCCCTGCCAACTCCTGCATTGCCGCTGCCTCCAAGCGTAAATCGCCAAGGTCCCTAGCAAGCTTAAGTCGCCTTTCGCTCGCCTCCAGGGCTGCATCCATGTTCCCATCCAGTCTCTGGATACTCGAGAGAACATGCAAAGCTCTGGCCATGCCTCGCCGATCTCTTGCGGCTTCCGACAGGTCGCAGGCCTCCTCCGCCAGAGCCAAGGACTTCACCAAGTCCCCGCCGTTTGCCAAAGCCACGGCCAAGCGGACGCAGCTGGCCGCTTCACGAATCCTATCCTCGGCGGCTTCGGCCACAGCCCGCTCACGAGCGGCTGCTTCTCCTGCTGCCGAAAAGCGCCCGCAATGAAGATGAATGTCGAAGAGGTCCCGATAAGCTCGGGCCTCTTCCACATGGTCCTTGACATCCTTTGCCATGGCCACGCCTCGATTCAAGGTCCGCACGGCCTCGGCAATGTCGCCACCTCAAGGAAGGAAGAGGAGCAAAGGAGCAGAGAGCGGAGAGAAAGAGAGCGATAGAGAGCGGAGACACCGGAGGTGCCCCCAGCGCTCCTGCCAGGAAAGAGGCCGCCTCGCCGCGGCAAAGCCTGGCCTTGGCCTAGGAAGATCGGGTCCCACTGACTGTGACGGTTGTCATGCGTCGCGGCGTCGCAGTCACAAAGGGCAGCGTGCAACAGCAAGGATATGTGTGCAGCACATTGCATACTATCAGAAGCACGCGCCATGGAGAGAAGAGTAAGTATCAGAGGAAGGTTTTGCTGATTGAATCTTGCCAGCTACTTATGATATACGTGCAGAGATGCACTTCCGATGGCACCTGGGACTGGGATGGATCGCCCTTCCCGTCGATGAGCTGTTGAGCGTCCTGCCGGACCAATCACAGACAAGACTGAGACTTGATGGATCTGGACTGACACCTCCCGGGCAGAGAATGCAACAGTTGGCAGCATCAACTGGAAAATCAGCTTCAGGAAGCGAAACAGGTTGCAAATACCACAAGGATCTCCTTCAGCTCGCTGAGTGCACCTAAGCAGGCAGGGTGGAGGTAGGGCTCGCAAGCCTCCCCGCACTCGATTTAAAAAACCGCAGCTCCGTTCCAGCGCCACCCTTTCCAGACAGGGTTCGCTCGGGGTGCTTGGAAGCCAGGTGTGCATGGGCGGCGATCTCCTACCAGGACTTCCAGCTCAAATGACTCACGCCGGGCACCACTCGAACTCGGCAACTCTCAATCCGATCCGTCTGCACTTCCGGCTCCGTCTCCTGTGAAGCCACCTGGCCTGCCAAGTCTCGCTCCTGATGCGTTTGCAGCACGAGAATAGTCTAGCTGCTTAGATAGGAATGCGATGGTCCTACGTGTTGCCACAAAAACAGAACTACTTGTGCCATCTGAACAGCTAGCACGCTACCCAACTCTTTGATGCAGCCCAAGGACCTCGCGAAACAAGCCACCCTGCTCCCTTGCAACCTTCGCCGCTGCTGCGGGTCTTCCAGACTGTGCCAAGGCCTCTCATACCGATGCATTGTTGAAGCGACACTGTCTTATTCTGCTTGGTGTTCCCTTTACCATCAAGGCACTCCAATGAAGAAAGGGCCTCGTGCCAAACCCGACCAGACTTCGCATTGCAGCAATTTGGTAGCATGTAACGAGCTGATGTCAAATCCTTGCTCTGCAAAAATTTCCAGGCTAGTGGCCTCAACTTGGATCTTATAAAACTTTGTTGATTTTCTGGCGACCACGCTGAGGGCAGACGCATTGCATACGCTTTTCCTGCAAAACCCAGCATCTTATTTCAACGGCTGTCCACTGGTACCCTGGCTGTGAATCTCATGCAAGAGTCGGGCCAAGCCAGACGCAACCGGCCTGGCACAGAACGGAGAGAGCCTTCGCCTGCCAGCCTGCGGAGAGCAAGGCTTGCGTGCCGTCACTCTCTTGACCTTCCGCTCACCTCGGAGACTTGACCGTCTAAGGAATGCCCGATTGCACGACAGCAACTAACGTAGTCACTTCTTCAGCACAAACAGGGGATCCGTTGCGTGACTGCCTTCTCTTCTCTCAGGCTCAGAAATCAAGCCCGCCGGTAGGTCAGGCTTTGATGCCCTGATGTTACTTCACGCAGATGGCAGTACTCACATGTTTCTAAGGACCAGTAAACAGACTCATATGAGTAGATAACATCGTCGGCAGAGTTCACAGGCCGGCTTCCGAACAAATCCTAAGCCTAAGCATGTCCGTATTGACCTGCATATCTGAATCTCCTTGAGACATCAAACATGGTTCAGACACAGTTACATCGACCTGTAGAAGGTCGACATGTCTCGAAGGCCACGATGATCTTCGGTTAGAGGTCGGGGCATGAAGTCCTCTCTCTGTCTGTCTGTCTGCAGGGCGTAGGGGTCGTCTAGCGACCCTCAGGCCTTCGGCCCGCCCAGCCTCCCCACTGTGTTAGTGAGTGGCCGGCCTTGGGGTTACTCCTGATTGTGGCAACGAACTACGTGGTGTGCTCTTGGTCGTCATGCAGCAAGCCCCACCCTTTACTCTATAACCCCCGCATCCCGGCCTCATCTCCGTGCCCCTGTGGCTAGCTTCCAACTCTGTCTCTCTCTCTCTCTCTCTTCTCCTTGCCCTTCTGTCTTCCCAAGCGCCTCTCTTACTCTCTCGCCCTCCTTTGCTTCCCTCCCTCCATTGGTCCATGCCTTCCTTGCCAGGGAAGACTAAGCACCCCGACCCCTGCACACTCGCGCTATGCCAAGGTCCTTTCCCTGTCTTACACCCGTTGTTGGCTCTTCGCTGGGGTTTGGCCGAAGGTTGCGATTATTTGCTGCATGGCTGTTTGCCTTTCTATTTTTGCTCTCCGTCATTCGCCAGGGCAGAGGCTTTTCGAGGGGGTTCGCCCCCCACCGTGCGCTAGTGCGCCCCCGCCTGTTGCGGCTGCCAAGAAGTTGCAGGCAGTGCACTCTCGAGGGCTTGGACAACCAGAAAAATGACTATGACAACAATGAAGCAGACACAATGAAACGTGAGTCAGAGATGGGAAACACCACTCTCCATTGTCAAGCTGTCGCGATCTTCGCTCTCTGTCTGTCAGTCTCTCTGGCGTTATCCATATCCAAAAGTCGCAGTGCGATGCTGCTGTCTAGAATGGAGCCGTCTCCGGCCTTTGCCGTAGCCAATTTGTCGGAACAGCAGAAGAGCCTGCCGCCCGGTCAAGCGCACGCCTACTTCGCCAACACTACGAAAACACTGACAGCAGCATGAAGCGACTGGACAGTCGACAACAGGCAAGAAATCTTGCGTGCTTTGGGCATTGGTGTCAACTAGAATGAATTGAAGTTGGCGGCATGTGGCCTCAGAGACGTGTGGGCTATCTCTGCCTTTCTTGAAAAGCATCCCTGAAGCTGGAGAAGCAAGCCTGAATCAAGCCGCGAAACTGCAAGTCCAACTGGAAATCTCCACACAAGGCGAACTCCAAACCCTGTTGCTGCTGCTGTGCAAGCACAGAGTCTGCACCGTGCCAAAAACTGCACGCATGGCCAGACATGCCACAAGCCAAGACGCATTGAGCAGGACAGCACATGATCCCGCGACTGTCTCAAGGTCTGCTGTGGTGACTGTAGTGCTTGCCCCATTCGCCTGCTCCGCCGAAGCCGCCGCTCTTCCAGGCTTTCCGGCAGCCAGCTGCCATTGCCCGACGGACACGAGCTCTGCCGCCTGACTACAGATGTTGAGGGACCCTGCAATCAACTGTTTACAATGAACCTCTCGACTCGATCTGTTAGGCATGATGTCACTCTGATGTATGGCTGAGACAACCCGTCTAGCATGTCCATGCCACTCCATGCCTCCATTTTCACGTCGCCCAGCTTGGCAAACAAAGCGCATGCCTCCTCTGCCTGTGCGCCCACACAGGCGAATACACGCCACACTCTCCACACACAACTCGCCATACCACACCGAAGCGGGCGCCATTGCCAAGTAGGAGGAACAAACCTCTGCCAACTGCGTCGAGTTGCGTTCACAGCAGCATCAGCATAGCGATGTCGGCTTGCCATTGTCAGAGCAAGTCCGTGAAAGGCCTTCGCCTGCTGCAACCCGTAATAGCCCTCGTTGGTTTCAAATCCAGCGGCACTGCCACAGAAGCACATACCCAGCAACAAAGCGATGCCGCAGAAAAGCTCTGAGGTTTGTGGCCTGGCTCATCTGGTCGCCCAAGGCCTGGAAGACGCACAGCGCAGATTGCGCGGCCTTGGTCAAAGCACCGTGCACACTGCTCTGATGCCGTAATTGTCCTTTGTGATGCCACGCGGCATGCTCAGCTTCATCTGGCATCTGCATCTTGGAGTAGAGGTTAGTGAGGATGAGGTAGGTAAGGGCCTGGAGACGCTGGTCTCGAATCTCCTGCCAGCACTGGCACCAGCACAAAAACCCTTTTGCACCTGGAGCTCTTCAGCCCATGACAGCTTGCTGCATGAATGGGGCTTGCGGCTACTGGATGAGGCCCATGCACCGGATCCAAAACACCCGGACTGGATTCTTGGCTCTTCTAGCTGCTTCGTTCCCCCTTCATGGGGCGTGTGTGGTGGCTCGAGAGCGTCTTCCACGCTTTCTCGATCCATGTGACTCCACGATCGCTATTGTTTAAACTCACGATTCCCACTGTCCCTGTGAGTCTTCCCTGGAGCCGCTCGTCAAGCAAACCCCGGCCGTTACGCCCCCACATTTTGTGCCTCCCTAACGAGCGTCTCAAAACGTCCTGGAATGTGACCAGCGCAGCCAAAGCCACCTCTAGGGCCTCTGCACGCTTGCGCGCACCGCGTCGGTCCATGTTGATCTCCTGGACAGTCGGACAGCATTTTCCTACTGCCGGATACTTGCTGCACGAACGGTAAGCACAAGGCTCCATGGACATCGCGCCATGGCAACCCCCCTGCCATCCCCGACAGCCAAACGCAATTCTTGCCATCTCCTCTTGCCCGCATGACTGCCCTCGTCAACTCTTACGAGCTTCATGCTTTCTCTGTCACAGAACCAAGAATCTGCACAAGGCCGGCTTTGCTTGCAAACTCACAGTATAGTGACCAAGATTTTGAGGCAGCTCATCGAGGCTTCCGGAAGTGAGGGGTTCCTTCGCGTGTTCACAGGTGCAGCCAGGAGTCGGCCAAGGCCAGGAGCATGGAAGCTTCGCCTCGCCGATCGCCATCTGCTCTAAAGTGCTCCTCTTTCGGGGCCAGAGCTTGAAAGAGAGGCCATGACTGACATGTCATGTTTGACCCTACCTTTGCTCGCTTCTAGTGTCACCGTGTCAACTTGACTCAAACAACCCACCCAGTGAATCATTGAAACATGTCAGGATTTCAATCGAAATTGCAAAGCATCGTTCGTTGTGAGCGAAAGGCAAGGCACCAACTCGTCCGAGGCGAGGAGAAGCGCCTCGAGACTACGTCATGCGCAGGGAAACTCGAAGAACTGCGGCTACGAGCCGCACCTCCTCGGGTTTGCGCTGCTCCACAGCAGCCTTTAAACGGTGAAACGCCACGACCACGCGCAGGGAATCGTGGACGCCGTTGAGGCCCACGCTCCCTGAAGCGATGCCGCGGACGGGAGGCTTGCATCTTCTGCTATGTAATGATGCCTACACTAATTTGGCTCCTTGTTATAATCATGGTAGAATGGGCCCCCAAAACTCTACTCTAATTATTTAAGGCCCCTATATTACTGGGAATAATTGAAACAGCGCCAGGTCCCAGGTCTTGGGGCAAGGGTAAGATTTTGTAAGAGTGTGTCAGTCCTTCCCTTTGAAACGCATCACATATCGGCCCATATATGTTCCAACTCCAACTTCAACCATCTGCACGGTGCACTTGCAGAAGTAGAATAGGGAATTGCAAGATGCTTCGTTTGTTGCTTTGGGGTGGTGCCGGGTGTTGGTTGATGGGCTTCTATGCTACGTAGGAGCGCGACCAGCCCGGCACAACCCACTCCTACCTGGGCGCCTAGGCCGCGGAAGATGTTCAGCGCATCGGTGGCAGCCCGGAGACATTCGGGCGTCAACCCATCTAAGTTTGACTCGGCGCTCACCAAGAGCTGGCGAGCTGCCTGAAACACAACTTGGAGTGCCCCACACTCACACAATGGCGATTCCACGAGTGCTTTGATGCATGGTGCCTCCTCCGTAAGATGCGGCTTGGCCGCCATGGCTCTAAGAGGCACTGGTCCATGCTCTCAGCTTCAACCACTGGAGAAGAAGTTGCTGCACATGTCTAGAAATGTTGCTTCTGCTGTCTGTCTTCTGGCTGAACTAGAGGTTCATTGCGAGATTCCACAATGTCACATGCATCTTGGACTTCGATGCAAAGCAACCCTAGGCCCTCCTCGGTCCAGCCCACGGAAAATGCATTGTGTGCAGACTACACAAAGCAGCTCGGCGCTGTGTTCAACGGAGTAGAATTTGGCAGGGATTCGGGGGCTCAGCCAAGTCGCTTGAATTACTATCCACTCAACAAGCTGTTGGCACGCGCTCCGGTGTTTTGATGCACCTTTATCTGAAAAGGGGGAGTGCCCAGGAAGAGCACACCCACTCTGTCAGAATACTAGTGACAAGTTTCTCCCGACTAGGCATGGCATACGCCACGATGTTTGCTGCATCTTGGATGCAGAACCAGATTCAGCTGCGCCGTCAGTTCTCAAGAACTTCAGCACCACATACAGTCGCTTTTTCTTGTTTTAGAGGTTTTGTGGTGGCCATGGTGGGGCCAACATGAGGCTGATGGCGCAGCTTGCACATTAACTTCGACGACATTGCTTTTCTTGCGCAGCTCAGAAAACGATCATAGCAGCATCTTCCTAGCAACGGCCATCGATTTGTCTCTGCTTGGGTTTTCTGTGTGGTTGCCATGCTCCTAGCCCATGCTCGTACATGGAGACATATCTAAAACAACATGTTAGTCATAAAGGTTGGAACCTGCGGTTTACGTCAAGTGCTCGAGTCCTTGCAGCACCAGGTAGTGACGAAATTCCACGAATCTTACAGGAGGTGCTCGGCGGTAGGTTCACCGACGCAGCAGACACGTGCTATAGATTCTACAGAGGCACATGATGAGCAGGGACGTGTGCCAAATCGGGCGCCGATCAAACAAACGGATCAGATTCGGTTGCAATCCCCAGCCTTAACCGCCTCGGAGGCGAATTGGATGGCATCAGGACCTGTCCAGGAGCAAGCGCCAGCTTGCAACGCTGGGGCCGGATGGCAACGACAAACTGCGCACGCCCGAGCCCCCTAGCTCCCGAGCTCTCTTTGCCAATCGAGGCTCCGGCTCCGGAGTGCCGCTGCCAAAACGATGTCGCGATCCGCCTGCAGAGGTCCCCCCCCAGACACGGCGATTCGACAGCCGCAGGCCGCAGGCTCGACTGATGATGCATGGAGTCGCGACACGTCTGCCTTCAGCGCATCGCTGCTGTGTTGTAGGGCCATACCGTCCTTCCCGGGTGTTCCCAAGTGACCAGGGCCACCTATGAGTAGATCATTCGGATCATTCAGTCCTGGGAAATCGCGGCGAAAACCACCTCCCTGTCCGACCTTAAAATCTCGACGCTTGTAGCGATAACCCCTGACTCCATCGCTTCATCACAGGGTCTGGCTTCAAAGTGTCACCAGCGTGTGCCAGCGCCATCGGATCCGTCTGAACCTGCCGTGACTGTCGGAGACACATGTTGCAGGGATTTGGTTCAAACATGACAAAACCTGGCACAGCAAGCAGCGCATTCGTCTCCATGTCGCAACATTTGCGGTCTCTCGTGTGCTGCTGTGAAGCCCAACAAAAGGCCAACGGCGCTCGGTGCTCTGCCCAACACGACTTCCAATTATCTTGCCGGAGGCACAGCTGCCAGGACGACGCCCTTGTCCACTCGCATTTCCTCTCACGCAACATGCCCAATTCGTGCCTTTAAAGCCCTCGAACAGTCAGTTTCGGATCTGGCGCCGCTCCTGCGGCAAGTGCCGAAGAAGGGCACTGTTGCGCCTCAGCGCTCCCAGAAATGCAAAGCAGACTGCCAAGCTACGGCGACGCGAAAAAAGGCCTCAAGGGCCTAGAGCCTGGGAGCACCAGCTTCACAGCGCGCTTTGCTTGCCGCTTGTCCACGCCTCAGCGTGCGGGGGCCTAAATGTCACCACAGAGTTTCTTCACTGCATTAACATGTATACCAATAATATGCTGCTGCGCTGATGGACCCTGGCTGCCGAGACCCGTCTCCCGAGTGTAACGAGAACAGAACACCCCTGCAACTGCAGGCCACATGCTGCATACTGGTATGCATCTGGACTGGCCACAGCATGCTATCTCTCTCTCAAAGCCCAGTCTGAGGACAGGGCAGATCGCTGGGTTTGCTGCCAACAGGGCGGAGGGGTCCTCAAGCCAGAACACGACAAGCCAAAGCATCGCAGCCTGGGTCATGCTGAAGAACGCCTGGCCTCTATTCTGTACAGCTTCTGCAGAACACACCGCCTCGCCCGCAAGGCTGAGGATGCCACCACTCCCTCCCCCAATCCAAAACCGTGGCTCCGGCAGCACATGTTTAGCAATCAAGCGGTTGGTGTTCTCCAACCTCAGCGCAGGATCCGACGAGATGGCAGGTTCGCAACCTGTCCCTGCGCCACACTGCAGGCAAAACAGACATGAAAGCCCAAACCCTTTTTCAGACTATCTCGGCATGGCACGGGCAGGGGAATATGCCAGCATGCTCGTGGTTTGGGCCTTGGAATACACGCCAAGTTATCCCAGGTAAACTTTGTCGAGTGGACAGCATGCACAAAGGGCCCATGCTTGGAGCGTCTGGCTGTTGCAGCACTGACGACTCCTGCATACTGGCCTGACATGTTTAGCATGCTGGCTTCGACATGCTGCGAGCATCAAGACTTTCTCCCATGCACTCCACACTGCTGGCCTTTGTGCTGACTCTTTGGAGGATGCCTCGCCTTGCCCGATTTGGCAACCATTTGCGACACTTTGTTGTAGTCTGGGTACGATGGCACCTACTCGTTTGCCAGCCATCAATCTGCTTTGAGGCGAGCACAGAACGTGCTTGGCAATCCGCCGGTTCTCCAGCTCCAGCCGTGCTTCGGACCTCTTGCATGTGCTGGTATTGAGGTTGACTGGAACCTGCCCCAACTATGCGAAGCCTGACGTAACGTTGCGCTCGCAAGCAAGAGACACCGAAGCACCGAGAGACCAGCTGCAAAGATGGTGCTCCAGCCTGGGGGCAGCCCGAATGACTGAACATGGCTGACGTGACGACAGCACAAAAACGTGCTCAGGACACTCACCTCGCAATCTTGAGAACAAGCAGCCTCCGCCATGCTCATCTTCTGGAAAATGTCGCGCCTTGACTTCGTGCGAACGATGCTGCAAACCGTCAGTGCGAATTTGAAGTAGCTCTCACGTTGGACCAGGTACAACCTGTCAGAAGCATACATAATCTCTGCACAGATGCAACATGCATCTTGCGAGTCGTCGGTTTGCCAGCTGCTCCGGCGACCTCGATGCACCGACATGACCCCACGGCCCCACCGCACCTCGCCCCGACAAAAACCAGTCGTAGACATCATGTGATGTTTTCTATGTATCTGCATGTATCTTTGTACCTATGGTTCCCATGATTTGCTCTTGTATGTATCTATGACATGTGATGACATATCTGCCTCAGAATTGCATTCTCCATGCAATAGCATTGAACGGAGCTAGGGATCATGGCATCGTTGCTTCAGATCTCTGGCCGCTCCCGATCGGCAATGTGACTTCGAGGGGTACTGCCAAGGCATCCCAGACCACAGGTTAATCGGGTTGGAGCGCCGAGCTGTACAAGCCCCGATATCGCAACGCCTGGTGCCGGCGATCCGAGCACGCGGCAGGCAAGCTTCTGCTGATGTGCCAGCTGCTACATAGCTCTGGGTACCTTGATGGTGGCTGGAGACGCAAGCCACTGTGTACAAGAAACATGGCTCGGGGAGGCGTGCCTGCTTGCTGGAGCAACGTTGGCTCCTCACGCTGCAGTCAGCTTATCCAACTGGTTGATGACTTTTCCGGCGCTCCCAGCAGAAGAGAAGTCAGAAGGGACCAAACGAACCCACGGACGAGCAAATACGAGCCGTGACATGCATCAATAAACACACTTTGAGCAGCACTGCGCATGTACGACGAAGAACTTCTATAGTTATAATCTTTGAAGTGCTTCTCGGTATGAAGTACTAGTAAGCCGCCAAACCATCTAGTGGAAGCCGGCGGTCCTGCGATGCAGGTGTCAGCATCTTGGACCCCTGGGCAACGTCTCTACTTCATGACTCTGGTGGCGCAAGACTCTCCGGCATCGCGCCCTAGCCGTGCGACTTTGCCGGCCAAGTGCTTCGGCGAAACAACAGCCCGCCCGCTATGCTATGCCGGCACCGGGCTGCCTCCGCCATGCTCATCTTCTGGAAAATGTCGCGCCTTGACTTCGTGCGAACGATGCTGCAAACCGTCAGTGCGAATTTGAAGTAGCTCTCACGTTGGACCAGGTACAACCTGTCAGAAGCATACATAATCTCTGCACAGATGCAACATGCATCTTGCGAGTCGTCGGTTTGCCAGCTGCTCCGGCGACCTCGATGCACCGACATGACCCACTCCAGTTGCAACAAGAATGAATGCATTGAGTGAACTAATGAACCAATCAATGAACGAATGCATGCATGGAAGGATGGATGGATGGAAGCATGGAAGGACGGAATGCATAAAATAGACGGAGAGGTTGGAATGCATGGAATGCATGGATCGGAAGGAATGGAAGGAGAGGAACGAACGCGATAAATTGAATGAACGGAGTGAATGGAATGAACGAATCGAGTGGGATGAACGGAATGTATGGAACGATGGGAACGAATGGAGCAAGTGGAAGGAATGAATGGGATGACAGGAGTGAGAGGGATGAACGGACCGAATGGAATGAACAAAAGGGAACAAATGGAGCAAATGGAGCAAATGGAGCGAATGGAACCAATGCAACGAATGGAACGAAAGGAGCGGAGTGATCGGAATGGCCGAAGGCAGTGACTGAAGGCCATGAATGGATTGAGTGAAAGGAATGGAACGAATGGAACGAACGGAACGAGTGCCATGCATGGCAGGAACGGAACGAACGGAACGAATGGCACGCATGGCACCAATAGCACCACTGGAACGAATGGAAGTGAAAGGGATGGCCGGACATAAAGCAATGAACGGACTGAGCGGAATGAATGGAATGAGAATTGAAAGAAACGAGATGAATGAATGGAATAAAAAGAATGAAAGGGGTCAACGGAGTGACCGGACGGAATGAATGGAATGAGGGGGATGAATGGATTGAGTGGAATGAATGGAAAGAACCGAACGACTGGAAAAGAGTGGACTGAACAGAATAAACAGAGTCAATGAAACGAAAGGAAAGAATGTAAAGAGTGGAACAAGTGGCATGAAAAGAATGAACGGAGACAAACGGAATGAATGGACTGAATGGACTGACAGTAATGAATGGAATGAGTGGAATGAATGGAATCAATGGGATGAATGAAATAATGGAATGGCCGGAATGAACGAAACGGGTTAGAGTGTAGCTGAACTAAACTCAAGGAGAACAATACCTGAAAAGCACATACCTGAGTATACCTATGTAACAATATGTATGGTGTACCACGTGTACGCATATACATAATTATACACACATATACATATGTTCAGTGATGAAGTGTAGGCATGTGCGAATACATGTGCGTGTGCATGCATGTATAAACAAATGTGCATACAGATACATAAAATTTCACATACATAAAAATGGTATATAAATACATAAATATATGAACAAATGAACATAGAAACACATGAATAGACGAAAATATAAACATATAAACATATGAATATAGAAGTATAGAAATATATGAATACGGACACACATAAGTATAAAAATATCCGAGCATAAGTATGTCTATATACACATATATGAGTATAAACATGTAAATATATAAATATACAAATCTATAAACACATAAACATAAAAATATGTTAATATATGTGTGTATATATATATACATATACATATATATATATAAAGGTATGAATATGGAAATATATGAATATATAAAGGTGTGAATATGTAAATATATATATATAAATACATATACAGATATATAAACACATAAACATAAAACAATGTAAATGTATAAGTATATACATACAAAAGTATATAAATATATAATGTATGAACATATAAGTATGCATATACATAAACACATAAATACTTAAGTACATGAACACATAAGTAAATAAATACATGTATGCATGTGTGTATGCATGATTGTACGCATGCTTCACTTCAGGTGCAGTCCGAGCTCTGCTGGTGAACTTGCAGGACAGGATCTTGTGTATGCGTGCAAGTATGCAGGCATGTATGTAACTTTTTGTCATTCGGGCTCGACGAAACAAGCGATTACTTACTACACATCAAGAAATATGTAAGCATGTAACGATATATACATGTATGTATATATATATATACATACATAAACACATTGCGTGTTTAGATACATTTATGTGTATCTACATCTGCATTTGTATATTTTCGTATTCTTTCAAGCTCATCAACTGGTGACTGCATGCTACAAGTAGCTCTTTTCTCTCTAGGCTTTTGGATGAAACAAAAAGAGAAGTCTAGCCAAATGGAAAAGAATTCCCGGATTGCTGTATCATGGCTGGAAGTGCTTGTTTGTCACATTGCTTGTTCCCCACAGGTAAGTGGGACCTGCGTCCAGATTCCACGTAAACGCCGACGCATGGATGTGACGGGTGTATTCGTTGACACCGGCCCCCGCGTTGCATACAAATGTGAAGGCAGGTACTGCATCAGCCGTTCGTGCCTTTTGGTTTACTACGGCTGCACACACACACACACACTTAAGAACACGTGCGTGCTCAGCCCCGTCAGGGTGTGCGAAAGCCTGCGGCTGGACGTTTCCCGCTGCAGTCAAGAAAAACTTGAGTGCTATGACTCTCGCCAGAAAGCCATGCACTGAAAGGAGATCCTGCATGAACGTGCGATGGCATGCGCTTCATAGCAACAAAGCCGAGCAAAATCATCATGGCTGGTTGTTCTTCTTGTTCGATCTACCGCAGAATTGCATTCTCCATGCAACGTCATACATGCCAATCAAGGTTCCCAACTATTTGCGCACGGTTGAGTGGATGAGTTCGAAATAGTAAACCCGCAGGAATGAACACATCTAGGAATCATGGCATCGTTGCTTCAAAGCTCTGGCCGCTGCCGATCGGTAATGTGACTTCAAGGGGTGCCGCCAACGCATTCCAGACCGCAAGTTAATCGGGTTGGAGCGCCGAGCTGTACAAGCTCCGATATTGCAACGCCTGGCACCGGCGATCCGAGCACCTGGCAAGCAAGCTGCAGCTGATGTGCCAGCTGCCACATAGCTGTCCGTACCTGGAGACGCAAACAACACCACCGGAACATAGAACATGGCCGGGGAGGCGTGCCTGCTTGCTGGAGCAACGTTGGCTCCTCACGCTGCAGTCAGCTTATCCAACTGGTTGATGACTTTTCCGGCGCTCCCAGCAGAAGAGAAGTCAGAAGGGACCAAACGAACCCACGGACGAGCAAATACGAGCCGTGACATGCATCAACAAGCACACTTTGAGCAGCGCTGCGCATGTACGACGAAGAACTTCTATAGTTCTAATCTTTGAAGTGCTTCTCGGTATGAAGTACTAGTAAGCCGCCAAACCATCTAGTGGAAGCCGGCGGTCCTGCGATGCAGGTGTCAGCATCTTGGACCCCTGGGCAACGTCTCTACTTCATGACTCTGATGGCGCAAGACTCTCCGGCATCGCGCCCTAGCCGTGCGACTTTGCCGGCCAAGTGCTTCGGCGAAACAACAGCCCGCCCGCTATGCTGGCACCGGGCTGCCTCCGCCATGCTCATCTTCTGGAAAATGTCGCGCCTCGACTTCGTGCGAACGATGCTGCAAACCGCAAGTGCGAATCTGAAGCAGCTCTCACGTTGGACCAGGTACAACCTGTCAGAAGCATGCATAATCTCGGCACAGGTGCAACATGCATCTTGCGAGTCGTCGGTTTGCCAGCTGCTCCGGCGACCTCGATGCACCGACATGACCCCACGGCCCCAGCGCAAAAAAACACACAGACTGGGTTGTAAAAGCATGTGCATGGGTGTACATTCATGTGCTTGCTTGTGTGCATGTGTACATATGCACACATGTCTCTAAGGATGTGTAATATATATATATATATATATATATACAAACATATATTGTGAATCTGAATATGTGTATATGTTACGGAATGTGCATGTGTGCTTGCATGCATGTATGCACGTAGGTATGCAGGCATACCCAAACCCGAAACCTTCTAAACGCCTAACCCTCCTAGCCCCCCAAACAGCACTACGAGTAGGTCTACCCCAAACCAATGGAGGACACCGGCCGCCCCAGCCCCGCGCCGCCCTGCCCCCCCAACTCGTAGCAGAACCACTGCCGACAAAAGACAACCAACACAAAACAACGAAGGTTACAGAAAGGATGCATTGCATCCATTACAAACATATGAATTCCAAGGTGGCAGGAGGTTGAGCCCTGGCAAAATTTTTGCGGGAAATGACCAGACCCCTCGGGTACTCTTAGGATCGCCGACAACGACACGTCTTCGAGCACCTGGCAAGCAAGCTGCAGCTGATGGGCCAGCTGCCACATAGCTGTCGGCACCTTGATGATGGCTGGAGACGCAAACCAAACCACCAGAACAGAAAGGAACCCCGGAAACAAGGCATCGCAAAGAGGCGGGCCCGCTTGGTGGAGCAATGTTGGCTCCTGACGCTGCTAGCAAGTTATCCAACCGGTTGATGACTTGTCCGGTGGAGACGAGAGGTGAAACGGGACCAAAGGCAAAGACTAGCAAATGCGAGCAATGACGAGCATCAACAAACACACCTTTGCGGCGGTCTACTGCAACCTCTCTGTTGAAACAGCTTGTGCCACGAACCACTGCAACTGCGTTCCCACCACATCAACACTCTGGACAGTGTTTCGGCGAATCGACCTCGTCTGTTACACCTAGTGTCGAGGTGCCTCCACACTGCACAGCTTGTGGAGAATGCCGCGCCTCAGCCATGCATGCTGGCATCGGATGAGTCCTAGCTGGCATCCGTTCTTGGCTGGACTCTCCTGCCCAACAAGCTTGCTGCAAGTGTCACTGTAAGTAAGATTGCCCTATGTAAGTTCTACGGTGAACACCTTTCTAGAGTCTCTTCACACACATCAGAACTGAATCTGCATTCATAAAATCTCAGACACTTCATCTAATGCCATTGCAGCTGCAGCTACATCTCCTTTCTGCGCAAATAGCTAGACCTGTGGCTTACGCCCTGACCTGAGCTCCAGCACAAATAGACCTGCAGAACAACCCTCTACCAAAATCCGAGGCAGGCTCAGCACGCATCTGGTGAGCCGCCGGATCGCAAGCTGCTCTGCCGACCTGCGCAAGAATCGATTGGAGAACCAGATTCACCCAGAACCCCAACAACATACACAGCCCCTTTGAACTGTCACTTCCAAGATCAGGACAATTCTCAGAAGCTCCACAGCTTTCTGAACCGAGTGTGCGGCAAGGTATCTGTCGCCTGCTGGTCTGAACCTGAACCGTCACCACGTATTGCCAACGACCCAAGCATGTCCTACCACATCTTCCTGATGAGGGCGTGGCCAGCCACTTTCTTGGCAACAAATGGCGCCAATGGCTCCTGCCACGGCTATGCTCACTGTGTGGCACGTGATCGTCGCTTGGGGTCTAGCAGGAAGATGTGGTGATATTACATTGATTGCCTGCGGCATTCCCTTCATTCTGCAGAAGGTACAAAAGAGGAAAGCTGCCGCAAGCTTGTTCAACTTCAAGGCTGTCTTCTCAGTCCTCCGAGAGAACCAGAGGCACCGCGGGGTCCTGCTGGTGGGAGAACTGTCGCAAAGTCGAAGAAAATCCCAACCAAGCTCTGTCTAACAGAAGGCCTTCCGCCCGGCATTGTTTGTGCGGCACAGCTTTTGGAGAATGCATCGCCTTGGCTTGCATGGGAACAAGTTTGAGTTTCTAGAAGCCCCTTGTCGAGGCCATGGCAGCACTCGTCTTGCAGCTCGACGATTCAACAGCTCGTCTGTTGACCTGACTCCATGTGCGGATAGTCTCGGATGTTGTAAGGAGCTTGACATGGAGTTTTGTCGAACCCACACCGTGAATGTGCTGCCACGACCGTTGATCTAGCTCTATCCGTTGAAACGCGCTTCATGAATCCAGACAACGCTTGATGCAGGCTTGGGAAAGCAGGGTTTCGGCATGCCTGATGTACATTTGCAGCAGCTCCGGCCTGGAGCAGCATCTCTCGACGACTCGATGAACGAGACGTCGGGCAGCTGTTGCATCAGGATCTGCGCCACGTCCTGCCCACAGCACTGGAACCACCGTCTGCTTCTGAGATCCCCTGCAATGTAACCAATGTACTTGCAGCCTACTTCGTTCAGCCTTCACACGCTCAACGCTCTCTGGCCTGCAGAGTCTTCACCCTGCTTCGCTGTAGCCATCCCAGGGACTTGTTTCGAAAGATGTCCTGAATGGCTCAAGAGTTCAAAGAGCGGACGAGGTTTGTATCATAAGAACATGGCAGCTGCATGTGCGGGTGATGGGAATGGACGAGCAGCTTGGAGATGCTCGGTAACCGCTGCAAGGAATCCAAGAGCAATCCCTCCCCAAATCCTCGGCCTGAACGGCCGGGGGAGCGCTGCACGGCCGCTTCCAAGCTCCGCACGCTGCCCTCGATGGCCTGCCGGCAAGAGTGCGCCGGAGTTAACTCCTGCCTCGCCTGGCCGCAGGCGCCTGCGTCCATCGATCAAGCTCATCCGGCTGCAACCTTGTCCAGTGCTAGCCCGGCCCTACTAGTAACGCTCAAAGCAGATGACGAAGGCCCTTGGTTTCTTGTGCTCTTCCTCGCACGAAGAGACAGACACGTTACTGTGTGCACGAGACTGCTTTCAGATTCTGCTCGAGCGGAGGATGCGGAACATTCGGAACTGCTCCTGAGATGTCGACGTATCGAAGTACACCATCCACCGCGACTTTCCCGCCTGTGAGGCATTCAAGCAAGTTCCTGCCGTTTTCGGCAAATCTTCACGTCGCCTGCGGCTCGAGGTCCAGCACAAAGCCAAAAGGTCTTGTTCGGCCTGCAGTATCCGGCCGGCTGCAGATACGCCACAAAGTCCAGCACTCCAAATCCGAGATCGCAGCTGTACAACACCGACTGTCCCGGAGCACCCGGCGCCTCGTCACGAGGAAAAAGACCAAGTTACGATTCGCAGTTTGCCCAGGCCACCATGATTTGATCACAGCGTTGCGATATCTAGGACATAGGTTTCACCCATCCAACACTCAGACCAACGTGCGCTTTTTACACCTCGGGTCTGTGTTCCCAAATGCTGATTGAAAACATCTGCTATTTGGAAATCCAGGGTCGTGTCCCACAGATCGTGGGGAAACTCTGAGAACAGAAACTTTCCCAGAACCACTGGAAGGCGTCGGGGAGTCCTGCTAGCCCCAGGCACTGGTTTCAGACTTTGATCTGTGTCTTTCAGATGAAAGCACAACGAACCCAAAGCCAGCGCTGCAAGAGACGAGCATGAATCCCAAGCCTCATTGCAGGACCCGCGAGGCCTTGAAGGGCACGACTTTGCTGCACGCGTTCAGCTCGAACGCGGCTTTGGGCGACAAGCAAGCCTGCGAAGTCACGAAGCACGCAGTGCTCAGTGCTCCATCCACTGCTCACTCCTTCCTGCTACTCTTGCAGCCAGAAAACGAAGATACAGCACAGTGAGAAGGTGGGGGGGCACACGCACGCATGGCCGAGCACTGCCGCCAAACAAGTCCAGAGAACTCAAAAACGTCTCGAGGCCTCGTCCTGAAAGGTCTTCAGCCGACCATGTTTAAGAACAACCCAACGCCTCTGCCTCTGTCAGATGCTTCCGAAATGAATTCGGAAGCCGCAATGGCAACTCACACACAATCAGCACAACTGTCACACAAGATAGGATTGATTTACAAGCTTCGGCTCTGTCACTTCACGACCATATGTATTTGATCTTGGCCGTTCCCGTTTGCAAGAAACCGCTCAGCCGCATGCCACTTGAAATCCACCATTGGGCCACGCCTTCCGAACAGCATAATGACATCAGTGGGAGCGGATCCATTCCAATGTGGCAGGTCATGGACACTATGACTATAGAAGCCGTCCAACTGTATGATGTGAACACGCACTGCATGGTTAGCAGTGGCACGCTTCACCGATGACAGGTCGGACACAGCTCCGGCAATCCGCAAGAATCGTCCAGCCTCTCGACCCATCCGGCGATCTCATAATCCTCCTTAGATGCCCCATACTTCTTGCAATAACTCGACAGAGCCGCCCGACTCTGATATTACGCCCCCCAAGAATCTCGCCCCCGAGAAAGACATCATCACGAACACTGACAATTTGTCACCGCCCTTCACCCGGCACCAAACCAAGGGTTGGGAGCGCTCCTCAACCAAAAAAGCGGGCCTCCCTCGAGAACCAAACTGGCATCTGTCTCTTGCACGTGAATCTTCGGCATCCTTTTTGACCGCGTTGACACACGGTATCTTTGAGCACGGCTCGAGTTCTGGGCCACTCGTTACTACGCGAGGGCACAGAGGCTCGTTGGGACTGTGCACAATGCCCGGACAGATTTGCGGGGATCTTGGCAGTGTAAAGCGAGTAAGCTTCTCATCAGACTTTTTGCTCATGGTCTGGCCTGTATAGGGCCTGGCCTTCGCGAGAAAGTTACTGGTGGCCCTCGCTGACCTTGGCCGAAATTGCGGGAATCCTTTACGTCCCTCGAAAGGAGGCAAGCTGAGCCTCCAGTCTACGCTGTTGTATAGGAAAAACAGCATTAAAACCTCATGGAAGGTCGCTGGTCAAAGACAGACGCCGGTAAGTGTTGAATAGAGCAGGTATGCACAGGTTTTTGTGTCCCATGCGGCACTGTGCTGCCAGACCAGCGATACCTGGAGTTCGCTAGCTGCCTAATCCTGCTTGTCGAACTACTTCGGGATTGCACGCTCCCCCAGACTCTCAGAGCTCCTCCTTCGCCGCAGCTTCCAGTTTGGGGATGATTTGTTTCCTGAGGAACTCAGATACGGCTCGCTCTAGCGCAAGTCAATTCGTTACAATCCAGAGAATCCTCAATCTCAGCAAGCATCTTGCGCGAGAGGACGCCTGGCAGCACCACCAGGCCCTCTGCATCCACCTTCACGCCCCAGGCTTTCCTTTGCAAAGCAGGGGGCATGCTGGAGGCTCTGTCTGTACGGTGCTGTCGGTATAAGTGGCCACAGCGAACCACATGCTTCAATGATCGAACGGCCCCATTTGCCACATGCAACCCAATAAACACTAAACGCACATGGCAGGATCTGCGCCCAACTGCTGCAATGAAATCTCGATGAACTTCTAAATCCTTCTAGCGCCGGTTGTTTTTCGCTACCTGGTGGTTTGCTTCACTGCTTCGAGCCTTCGCAGGAGGCTGGGCGTGCCTTAGAAAAGCTTCGCAACCCCCTTGTCTGCGAGGGTGATGCACGTGAATCTATGTGTGTCCTTGCCTCTCAACGTGTAGTACGATGCGTCTTTAGCTTGGTGGCGCACTGACAGGTGCAACTTGCTTGATGGACGGCAGGTGAGGTTTGGGGAGGCCTCGGGCTGCAAATGCAACCCAGCGTCTCCACCAGCCTGGTGGCAGTGGCAGAAGACGAGATGAATGTGGCAGCTTCCTTGAGTATGTCAACCACCTCGGCACGAGGACCATGTTTATGAACTCTGGTTGAATTTGGGGGGCAACAGCCTTGTGGAAGGCATGACCGAGAGCCCAGAACTTCTAGCAAGAATTCCAGAAGCCATCCGCTGCAGTACTTACTTCTCACCTCTTATTCCGCCCGGCGGCAAAGAACAGAACGTCGTCCAGCTTCTCGTCAAGGGTCAGCTTTTGCATTGCAGCTACAAGCCTTGTCGCGGAACAGAACGCAAAGAGGCAGGGAGGAGGCACTGGTGACTCGAGATCCTAAGTCGTCCGCCTACAGAAGGAGCTTTCAGCTGCTGCAAGCTCTGGCAAACGCTGGCCCTCCCTCAACCCCGATGCTGCTGAGCCATGGCAAATGCTGCCGATCATCTTCCCTTGCCAGATGCCCTGATGTAGCAGGAGGTCGTCTAGTTTCCGCCTAGCAGCTCGTCCTTCTTTGCCAACGGTCCAGCAGCCTTGGTGGTCTCCATGACCGACACCCGCAGCTTCTTGCCACCGATGGTAAAAATCTTCCTGGGACAATAAGAGGACCGGTACATTCACTGAACGAACAGCTTCTAACCGGTCTCAGGTGTGCATTGCTTTCCAAAGGACTCTAAAAAGAGCCCAAGACTCGTGTCCATCATGATTAGTTCTGAAGGACTCAGATGATCAACGTTGGCCTTCGCCTCGAGCATGCCTTCCGCAAACTCATGGACGTCCAGGCCTGGGCACTATGGGCACTCCAGCGGCACGCTGGGCTGGCGGCATGCCATGCCCCCTCTCGAGTGATCTGACTCGATGCTGAGACAGATGCCGGCCAACTTGCCCAGCTCAGCCGCGTGGACTTTGTCAAGCTCTGTGGTGGTCGGCGACCGGAACTCCAGGGAGTCCGAGAGAATCCCTGCAAGCAGGACAGGCACCACGGAGCGAAGGCCCAAACAAAGTCGGACACCCGGCAAGCCACTGCAAGCCTGCAAGCATCAAGCCCGCCACGTCCTTCGGTGGGGCTAGTCCCCGGAGCTTGCTGCGTGCGTAGAGGATGCTTGTTGCAGAACAGAGGGGCCGCATGTCCACCTGCAACGTGGCCAATTGCGTCTTTTGGTACTGCTTACATATGCCGACTGCGCAGCATCACATGCTACGCCGTCCGAAACGATGCTTGCCGGACATGGACTCGTAGCCTCCAAGGGCTCTGCGTTGCTGAGGCCACTCAGCTTGTGGTGATCGACGATTGAGTGGATGCTGGCTTTCAGGATGCCCTGGTCAAGCGAACAGCACCCCGGGAAGGCGAAATGCGCAAGAAATGCATTGCGCTGTCTCAGAGCATCTGCAGCCCTCCCGGTCGCCTCCGGGAGCTCTTGCGGATTGTTTGTGTCCACGACAGCCACCGCATCCTTCGGGGCATCCGCTCAAAGCATCAACCTGGCCAGTGCCCACATGTGCTCACCTTCGCCGAGACATCTGCCAAAAGCGGTGGCACCGCCACTCCAAGGCGTTTGAGCACAAAGTCCTGGGAGGCCTTATCCTGTTTGGGTCTTTGGATTCAAGGTTCAGTGTCTAGGGGTGATTGAAGAACTTTCCGCGCAAGCGCAACTCTGCTTCAGCTGAAGTGTCCAAAACCTCCCTGCAGTGTGCGGGCACGCGTTTGTGGGGAAAACCCTGTGCTGGAAAAAGCTTCAAGGCTTGCTAAGACCAATACCTCGGGTCAAGAATCGGTTTCTGGGTTCAGCTCACCAAGGCGATAAGCCGTGGCCGAGATGTTCCGGGCATTCAGCTCCCAGGCATACACCTCAAGCTTCCGGCAACCGGCTGTTCGAGTACATTGCAATGATTCCGCAGTACATGCGCCACGCAGGGCCTCATGCAAGCACGATGTAGTAAGGCTTCCACCAAGGCAGCTGTCACAGTGTCCGTGTCTGGGACCTTTGCCACACCACAGAGTCCCAAAGAGATCCAGCGATACTCAGAACTCAGGAGAGCCTTGTGGCCGAAGACGGAAAGGCCAGGCGAAGACGCTGAGGCCACGGGCAGTAGGCACCAAGCGAAAAGCTTCATGGCTGGGACAGCTTGCTCCGAGCTTGAGCTGCAAAGGCACATGACAAGCAAGCAGGGGCCAACACCAGAAGCGGCAGCGAAAGTAGTTGTTACTAGTTTACTAGTATCACGCACAATCAAGAGCGATGCTCCATTTCAGCCAAGCTGCCATCGAAACAAAGTCTGCCCAGACTATGGACAGAGCTGCAACGCTGAAAGCCAAAAGCAAGAATGTCGGAAAGGTAACAACAAGCAAATATGTCGTGGTGGACCGACGGGCAGCTTGCACAGGCGAACAGGTCTGGATGTTGAGCAGTTGACCATTGCGTAGAAGAGTCCCGTGACACCAGCCGGTTGGCAGCGCTGGCAAAAGTAGACAGCATGTGCTTTTGATGCAGCTGCCAATGAAGACGACCCTGCACGCGTGGAAGAGCGCGGTCTCAGCCAGCTCGGCAGGAAGCTCACCGTCTTTGGGTGCCTTGCCTGGGTCGGAGGATCCTAAAGGCCAAGCTTCTCTTTCAGCCCGTCTTCTCGCAATCCTCGGCGTGCGAGCACACGTCTGAATTCGCTGCAGCACAAGCTGCACCCGGGGGTCGGCATACCTGTCATCAAAAAACACTGCACAGCTTGTTGGACACTGAGGCGGGGTCTGTAAACGTTGCCTTGGCGAGCAGATGTCTGTAGAACAAGCTTCACAAGAGAACTTGTTTACATCTTGCACCTGCTTCATGTTTGTCCCATTCTGTGGTTCTCGCCATCTTCCTTCATGTTGTGCGCACGAGGGAGGGAATGCCCTATGCTTCTACATTCCTTCATTTGCGATTTCGATGGGCCGAGAACTCGAAATTCACAAGCAACTCAACAAGCTAAGTTGGGTGAAGCTGCCGGGTTGGAGAACTGCAGAATCATCTGCGAACTCACGCTTCATCCAGGGATCGCAGTAAGTTATCCATGCCTTGGCTGAGTCGAGGAAAGCCCTGGCGGTCCGCTGCACTAGAGCCTTGCTGCCTTACTTGGCTCCCTGCATCCGATGCCCGAAGCATCATTTGGATAGCAAGGTCCTCCGTGTCCTGGGAAGGCCCACTGATGGTCTTGAAATGCGTCAGCATGAGTCAGCTTCCCCTTGTCCTGTCCTTGTCTACCGCTTCTTCCGGCGAGGCATTGATGTCGATGCCGATCTGGTGCAGGCCTGCGTTCTGCAAGCATTCTCGTCTCGCGGGCGCATCAAAGCAGCGAGCCGAAACTCCCTCGGCCCTTGCCTTTTTTCAGGCCAGGCCAGTTGACTTTGCTGTAGACAACCAAGCCTCGAAGGCG